TGTGTTAGGCTACCATAAACATAAATCATCCAGTTGTCATACCTGAAGGAAGTTTTTGTAGTTGATTAAATGAGCATTTTAATTTCACTCTCTTTTTTGTCTACAATTATATATAATGAACTCAACACCATTCTTTGCCAGAGGATTCTAGTCAGAGGGATGTTTGGAACTTTTATAATTTCTCTCCCAAAAAAATTGCCACAAAAGCTTGCTTTCATGTAGTGCAGTTATGGAGCATTCATTGTTAGACCATCTCTAGATTTAGTGGGACCTTCTGCTGGTCATCCCGTCACTGAAGTTTTTTTGGTAAAAAAGCTGCATTGTTATTAGTTCTAACAATTAAAAAATAAGTAAGTGGAAAATCTGGAAAGGATTTGGTGGGAAATTATTTTTATTTTGATGTCATCTCTAAATTATATATAATAGCAAACATACAGGGTGGGGCAAAAGTAGGTTTACTGTTGCTAATATGGAAAATAATATAATAATTAATAAATAATAAGATAATAAACTGTGATTCATGTACTCACAACTGTAAACCTACTTTTGCCCCACGCCCTGTACTTTGTCATGTTTTTACTTTACCAGAAAAGGTGAGTAATAATGGGTAATCCTAAAGGGCTTTCTGAATTATCAAAGAAAATGTTTTTATATTTAATATAGTTTTACTTACATATTCTATTAGGTTTCAGTTATCCATAAACCTAATCATTGAACTGGGAGGTAATGCTTCTGAATTTTTTTTCTCAAAAATTACTTTTTAATTCAAAATTTTATTTATGGAAAAGCTGTGATAGTATTTAATGCGTTAATATTTTTGTTAGATTTCACTTTCATGTTTCAGGGGAAACTGGACAAAGCTGTACCTCTGTATGAGTTGGCTGTGGAAATCCGACAGAAATCCTTTGGCCCGAAGCACCCTAGTGTAGCTACCGCCTTGGTGAACTTAGCTGTTCTCTATAGCCAGATGGTAAGTTCCTACACTTCCACTTTGTAAGTGAATGGTTTTAAGGTACGAAATATAGGTAAACATGAATTAGATGTGACACAGTAAAAATAATTAAAGGAAATTGAGTTTATCTCCTAATGCTACCTTTAGTACTTGAGAAATTATTGAAGTCACATTCCTCTTAGTATAAAGCACTGACTGAGTGCTTAGTTCATTGCATAGGCTTAGTTTTTTTAAAGTCTGGAGACTCCCTACATCTCTGTGATATTATCTTCAAGCTGTGGTATTTTGCCTGTGATAGGTGAGAAACAGGTTTTGTACCCACTAATCAATAAAGAAACAACTCTACGTTTATATCATTGGATTAAGGTCAGTGGTTACCAAGCCAGATCTAAAACTGGTTTCTGATTTTCCATTATACTACGTCTCCCATTATGATTATTCATAAATTAATCTGTTTATCCACATATTTTAGGAGGATATTAACATTTTAAAAGTGCTTACCCAACTTGGTCAGCTTAATCTAGAGTATATTAATAGTGGTTTCATAAACCCAGTGTGTTAAAGTGAGTGGTGTTTCTTTTTTTAATAAGAAAAAACACATTGAAGCATTGCCACTATATGAAAAAGCATTAAAGATTTATGAAGACAGCCTGGGACGGATGCATCCTCGAGTTGGAGAAACGTTAAAAAATTTAGCTGTGCTTAGGTAAGAATTTTTTCACTTTCCACATACACCCTGACTCCCTTTTAGAAGACCTTTTAATTTGATCCGTAAGACAAGAGACAACAAAAAATACTTATTGCTGAATGGTTTTTTTTGGAGGTGGAAGGGTTGTTTTTGGTTGATTTCCATCGAGATACAGTAGTATTTGGAAACAAAATGAAGGCTGTGCAATGTATTTTGCAGAGGAACTTACCATGGCAAATAATAAAGAATGGTTTACACTTGCAAAACTGGCTCTGAAGTAATATGAGCAATTTGCTCTCCTCAGAGCTAATTTACCATTAAGTGGGTGTTGACTTCTGCTTTGTGTTTAACTCAGGATACAGAGAATACCTAGCTTAGCTTAGCAATTTCACTGCATCCGTCACAACATGGTTTTAATGGTGTCCATGAGACACTGAAATGTTCCTTAGCAGTACAAAAAGAAGGGAAAAGAGTTTGGGTATTTTACTTTTTTGATCTGAGTAAATAAATGTATGGGGGGGGGGGAATGAGCAATTATTCACTTTTGTGGGATCTTTTTTAATCCTATGAGGTCATTTAAAATTGTTAAAAGGTCATATTCTGATTTTAAGAGGGTTTTTTTTCCCCCTCTCATAGTTATGAAGAAGGGGATTTTGAAAAAGCTGCTGAACTATACAAAAGGGCAATGGAAATAAAAGAAGCAGAAACGTCACTTTTGGGTGGAAAAGCTCCTTCCCGACACTCATCAAGTGGAGATACATTTAGTGTAAAAACAACCCATTCTCCTAATGTTTTCCTTCATCAAGGACAAAGGTAGAAGCGGCCATTACAACTTATTGCAAATGCACCTCAGAATAAAATAATGAAAAACACTTAGAACATTAGAACTTCAAACTTACTCAAATATTTTTAAGAAAGTTTATTTTTACTTCATATGACTTAAGTGGTGTTTGTATAAAATTCTATTGGACTTCAGTGACATGAGAGTCATGATTATGTCTGTTTTAGTTAAAAGAATTAACTTCCCTGTTGTATGGGATCCAAGCAACAGATACACTAGAATCCTAAGATGACAGGAAGAATAGATTGGTCTCTGTTCAACAAGAGCTGGCAGAGTAGTTGAGACATGGAGTTCAAGAATCCCATGTTGTTTTCATCTCTCAAACGCTGTTTACCTCACCACTCCTTATCTTGCTTTTCAGCAGTGGTCTGGCCCAATTCTCTACCTCAAAGAAAAGGTCCAAGGAATAAAGAGATAATGTTTATGAAAAGTATGACTTGTCTTCTGTAAAATGAACTAGTAACAGGAATCTCTGACTGACACATTTTTCTTACTGTACTTTTTCCTTGAGCAGATTGGGCTGAGGCCTCTGCTCGCTGTGCTCTCTACATTGTATGCTATTTTACTATGCAGTATGCATCTGCAGAATCTGAAGTCATTAATGCAGTAACAAATCAAGCTTGTTGGCATTCTTTGACCTTACCTAAAATATGGACATGACATTCTACTTCCTTCCTTCCTTCCTTCCATAAACGGCCTAAATCTGTTTCCTCGTTTATCTCAAAACTCAAATTAGTCTGCCATTTTATACTGAAAATTACATACTTTTATAGATTTTTATAAATATTGTCACATTTTGGATATTGTTTTGTACCATTTATGTATTTATATATAATAAAATCTTCAATTTTAATACTTGTAAGATTCCAATATGTAGTAATTGCAAAGGTGAAAGGATATAATAACCATACTTGACTGTTTTAAAGTGCAATTTGAAGTTCCCTTTTTTCCCCACTCATTTATACAAGAGGGTTATATTTACATAATTAAGAAATACATTGAACATTATAAAAAGGACTTGAATGTTGTCACTACTTGCTGAGTAGTTTGCTCAACTTGAGCTTCGGTGACAATAGGATTTTAGTGATAAGGGTGGTCCATGAACTACCACCTAGAAGCTTATTAAAAATTCAGACTCTTGAGCCTCTCCCCGTACCTACTGAATCAGAATCTGCAATTTAGCTAGAGCCCTGGGTGATTAAGATGCACATAAGTTTGAGAAGCAATGGTTTAACTTTAAGGCACTACAGTGGTGACTTAAAAAGAAAGTATGGAGGAGCTTATAAAATGAACATCCTTCTTCCCCCTTTCGAGAGGAGTTCAAGAGGAAAAAAAATATCAAATATGACCATAATACATCTTTGTGGATTTGCCAGCTATGAAACGCACAAATTTAATTTACAAATATAGTGGACATTGATTTTTTAATTAAGCTATTAGAGTTTAAAATTTGATTATTTAGTGATAATACATTATAAGTAATGTTTAAATGCCTTAAGAAAAACTACTTTAGGAAATAATCTGAGATCAATATATTAAGAGAACATTGAAAAAAGGCAAAACTAGCAAAAGAATAATATCCATTTATTCCTACAAAATTTGGACTTGAAAAACATATAAAAAGTGGAAACATAATATTCTTCAAGTTATTAATAATATTCAAGTGACTTTATGGTAAAAATTCATTAATTACATTTGGGGGATGATCACTATTTCAAAAGATTTAGCTTTAAATATAATTTTTAAAACTATATTTCGATCATGTTTTCATATACCTACTTTTAGCTGGGACAGATACTTCTTCATATATATTTGAGGTTCTCAACTAGGGGTGTTATGTTCACATTAATATACTCCTTCCCAATGAAAAAGGTAACTTTCAACAGTTGAGTTATAAAACTGAATTGGTAGAATCCAAATTATGGTAGTAATTTTTTAATACTCTGTAGAAAGAAAAAAATTTTAAATGCTATTTGGTGGGGCTCAAATCTTCCTTAATAAGTACTCTTAAATGGTTATTACCTTTTTGTGTTGGTGAGGGTGTTTGTAGGTATTTAGGGAATACTTTTATATGAAGAAACTCATAGTACATATTTTCTTTATTACATAAATAATTTGAGTAGTACCACAAATTAATTTCCCATTAACAATGGGGGAAGGGATTAAAGTTGAACATACTGTTTGTTTTACTAGAATTTAGAGCCTTTGTGCTAAGACAGTCTTGGGAGCATGTTTGCATCTTTCACATTAGAAACAATAGTATTAATAAATCTTGTCAAGCCCTATGAGTTTATTTAGTAGTATAAATTTCAGCAAGGATTAGTGTCTCATAATTAGTTGCCTACATTTGTAAGTTTTCATGGCAATCAGACTCTCAAGAGAACACTCTAGGTTGCAAAAGATACCTGTTACCAAATTTTTTTCTGGTAAAATAAACCAGTACTATTTTTAATGGAAGATATAACAGAAAGAAACTAGACAACTTAGACAAGATTTGTTGATATAAGACATCAGGAGTGTGCAGTGCCAAGAGCAGGGGAAAAAAGGTCTTTAAAAGATGGCAAGTTCTAGCTATTATACTTTATCAAACTATGAAAATTTTAAATTGTAAGTGAAGCCTTACCAAATTAGTGCACCACAGGTTATGAAGAAATGGGAGTTGGGACAACTGAATTTTCTTTTTTGAAATTCAAAACATCTCTAGTAACTAGAAAAGTTATTTTATAGATGAATAAATTTTTAAAATGTCTAATGACCTAACAAGGCAACGTAAGTTTCAAAGCCAGAAAAACTATCCCTCTACTTCCCTGACTTTACTCTAAACGTAAGAATCACAATATGGTCCTAGAATCTCAAAACTAGTATATTGAACACATCCGATACTTGGGTCTTTCTAAAATAAGTTTTTGGAACTTTATTTTACAAATGGAGAATGCACTTTTTAATTTTTTACTAACATTTTCCCTTGAGCGATACAATTTAGAGGTATCTTCAAAGGAAAAAAATCATCAAAATAGTAGATAAGCATAATACCAGCCTCCAGATCTTCTCTTTGGTTACAGATCTCCCTCTGACACTGGGAAAACCAGTGATACGGGCACTCACCTGGATAATCGTTACACATGCATGATCTTTTATTGGTCTCCAAACCAATGGGAATTTGTTACAGCCAAGGCTCTCTAAGCTTTCATTATTAGTATGCAACTTCAGAGAAAACCAGTATTATCAATTTATGATTGGATAGGTCATGATCAGAGACAATGATACCCTTCCAGTGACTAAGTATGTGTCAGTCACTGCAGAGGCACGTTGGGCCTCTTTAATGCCCATTATCCAGGACAAACCCTTGTCAATACTAGGGAAGCAAATTTAAATGAGATAAAGTATTCAGAAGGTAACCCATATGAAGGTTCTAATCTAGACGATTTTAGTCTAAATGTATCCCTTGCTCCTCAGTAAAGTACATTAATTCCAGATATATGTCCCACAGGTGCCATGATTTCTTTTCCTTGGTCCGTGGAGAAAAATAACTTGTACTTCCTCAAAGTACCTTTATCTGCTATCCATGAAAAAACTTCATTTAGGTTGCCTGACTGACTGAATATATAATGCACAAGTTTACAAACTTTCCCAATGACTTCATTTCAGTTTGTAATCAGGAAACATTGGAGGGAATGTTTTCATTTCATAGGTTAACCATCTTAAATTCATGGTCAATCAAGTTAGTAGTAGTGAGCAGCTTCCTTGTAGAGAGCAATTCCAAAACAATGAGTACATGCCTGCCAGCTCAAATCCACAGGTTGTACTTCTTGTTCTTCTCTCTATATTTCAGGACCAGGTACTGTTGTACTGCCCACGGCCACAAAACACAAAGGATTACCGGAAATAAAAGGAATATGCATAACATCAAATTGGTCCTTTCTTCCATTCCTCACAAAGGCCAAAACACTTCAATGGCTACGTTTTCAATAAGATTTTAATAACGGCCTAAAATAATCCTTTGAAATTTTCTTACTAGAATGAAGAGTTACTGACTTAGTTGAGGATGTGGTAACAACATGCTACAGTTAAAGTATTTTCAAAACCTGTAACAATTTAGTGAAGATAACACATCAATTGTTGTTGCCCTAAATTCTGTCAGTTTTTAAAATGACCTTTTTTTTAATTGCAAAGGAATAGGCTTAAAGACAGGAAATAAAATGTAGTCCAGTCCATTATCTACATATTCTTCATCTTGGCCATGAGATCTTCCAAGGTTTCACCAGAATCTTCCAGTGTTACCTCAGGTACTGAATCTTCTTGCTATCAACAAATGAGGAAAACATAGTGAAAAAATAATCATATACAGTTTTTGATGGTTAGATATATATAATCAACAAGCGTTAACCATGCTCAACAAGTTTACGAAGAAATTTTCTTCAGTAAATATGCCTTCTAATTTTTAGGAAAGATGAAGTCCTTTACTTTCCACATCAATCTTGATTAACAAGACAATAATTTCAATATTCCTGAGGTATCTACTGAAGTGATACTTTCAAATGGTATTGTGGCTGAAACTACCAGTTTACAAAAATATTTTCGTTTTATCAAAATCTATTTTACTTGATCCATTAATGAGTGAACACAGTTTAAATGTGCTGTGCCTATGTCCATATTAGCACTGAATATCTCTCTCACAAATCTTAATGCCCACAGTGCAAAATATCTAATACAGGAAATACTGCACTGGCATTATAAAGTAGGGAGAAGATGAAAGATAAACATTGTCTCTTATATGATATTTACTTATGGTAAATCAGATTTTAGATGTACCTTTTTGGGAATTGTGTAAGCCACTGTAATTCCTTCAGGTAAGTTGGGAACTGGACCTGAAGAACTTCTCAGTTCCTCTTCTGAAACCTCGGACACCAACTCAATACCTGCAGAGTTAAATTTGACCTTTTAACAGTTTTAAAGGAACTTAATAAGCAATAATAACTCAAAACTTGTATAACCTTAATTATAATTAGATTCTCTCCCATAATAGATAGGTTCTGTGCTGCCCTTTCAATTTATGAAAGGATTCCTACCCCATTCATTGTCTTCATGGATTATCTCTTCCTCTTCTTGAACAACCTCTTGTTTGGGCAGTGCTGCTACTTTTTTCTGTAGAAATCAAACAGTATCAAAGTGTTTTTACTCATTCTCAGTTCTCTGAAGCATTAATCAAGAATTCAGGCAGGCTTTTTATCCTACCAAAAGCTAAAAAGACTTTGAACGGAATTTTTATTTTTTGAGTATGGTGAATAAATTAAAAGTTTAAGATCCCAGAATCGAATTATCATTCCAAATCTAAATATTTTTTTCTTTTCAAAGTTATTATCCTATGCAATATGATGTCTCATACATTCTGACAGATTGACATATACCTTATATTCTTCCTGCTGTTTCCTGCAATTTCTGTCATCACACTGAGGATTTGGCTTCATGGACATAGTAGGAAAAAAATCCTGCATTGCATTGTATCCAAGGTAAAAACTAACAGTACCAAAATTTAACAGAAACCTAGAAAAACAAATCAAAGTAGACTTAAATAAAAGGATGAAAGTATTAAAAGAAAGTAATCAGATTTTTAAAAAACAATTTTGAAATAGGTAATGATTTTTGTAACAAGAAACCAAGAAAACAAATTTATAATCTTGTTTACAGGGCGTGGCTCAGAAAATATTTGCTGAATGAAAACAGGAAAGAAAACATTACTCTTTCATTAACCATAGAACTGTTATTTTTTGATCTTCTAATAAAAATAAAATGCTGCCTATTAAACGACGGGATGTTAACAACTTTAAGAAGCATACTGATTTCAGAGAGATTAAAATGTTGAAGAAGTCTATCTTAAAAATTCCTGAGATGATATTAAGTGTAACTAATTTTTTTAATTTTATATATAACTTACTATAAAGTTTACAATTTTAAAAGTACAACTCAATAAAATTTTACAGAAGTCTTCACCCATGTAATTATTACCAGATCAAAACAGAACATTTCCAGCATGCATTAAGCTTCCTCCCAGTCTAATCTGATTCTTTTTAGAAGCTTACATATAGAGGGAAAATCATGTATATAAGATAAACAACAAAAGGAAAAATACTTGCAAATGTATGTTCTTAACATACAACAAGGAAAAACAAAAAAAACTAAGCAAAGAATATGTGCAAATAAGTCACAGAAAAAGTGTTCAAATTCTCACAAATAAAATTAAAAGATACCCATTTTTCACTATCATATGGACCAAAATTAAAGAGTTTTATGACGTCAAATGATACCAAAGGTGTGAGCAAACCAAGTACTCTACACTGTAATGGAAATGTACAATCCCTTTGAAAGAGAAATTTTGTAGTTATCTTGTCAAAATAAATTTTACATAAACCCAGAAATTCTACTCCTAAAAGTTAAAACTGTACAAAAATCTACTATACAAAAATATATGACAAGATGTTATTTGCAGCATTATTAATAATAGCAAAAAATCTGTAAGTAGCCTATGTGTCTCTCAATAGAGGGCTTACTAAATATGACATCCATAAGAGAATACTTTACAGGCATAATATTTTCCCTCTTTTCGTATCATCCTGTGAAATGTTTTGTTTAGATAGGGCCTACTGACATTTGACAAGCTATCTGCTCTGATATAAAATAGCTCTAGACAGTTTCCTTGAGAGTTCTTATGTATGCTTTTTACAATATTTTTGCTGGCAATGGACACTTCCAATATCAGAGCGCCTTCCCATATCATGTTGCTGTTTGTTCTTATTGTATTGAAGGTTTAGGAAATATAACTGAGGACAAAAAAAAAAAAAGGCCTGTGAGAGGGAACACCTAAAGGAGTTCTACTTTTAATTAAGTGTGAGTTGATTCACAAACTCTTTGACATTAATTTTAACTGTGAAGAAACCTTTGTCCTATTTAATTACAGCTTAGATCAGAAATTTTCAACCAGTGTGCCCCATGAATTTTTAAAACATGCAGTGCCTCCCTATTTAGCCAAGGTCACTGACCTCTTTTCCCTGAGATTAAAAAATGACAACAGTCAGCATAACAATAGCCATCCTATGTGAATGAGTCAAAATTATACCCATTTTTTTGTCAGACTGGCAAAAAATATATTTTTTTGGTGTGCCACAGAATTTTAGTAATTAGTTTATGTGTGCCATGAGATGAAAAATTTGAAACTCAGACTTAGATGATATGGTTGCTGGATATTTGTTTTGGGATAACAGAGATATTACCCTGGTTTATGTTTACTCACATTCGTATTATTTTTAGTAAGAGTTAAATCAAGATAGTGGAAACAAATGAGTTTATGCCTAAGTCTCCAATCTTTGGTCAAACCTGTAGAGATTTATATTATTTGGTTAATGAGTTGTATATAAATACAGCAGTACCATTATACTCCAGATGCAGACAGCGACACAAACATGTATGTGTATTAATATATTACCCATATTAATTAATATACAGTTGAGCCTTGAACCACACAGGTTTGAACTGCACAGGATTCATATATATGTGTTTTTTGTTTTTTTCAGTAACTATATAGTCGACCCTCTGTATCCCTAGGAAACTGCAGGTGCAGAGGGCCGACTATACGCATTGTTCTACACCACTTTACATAGGGACTTGAGCATCCTCAGATTTTGGTATCTGTGTGGGTCCTAGAGCCAATCCCCAGTGGATACCAAGGGACAACTAGTTAAATTTTGGGGGGAATCAAAAGTTATACATGGATTTTTGACTTCACAAGGGTAAGTGCCCCTATACCCTGCATTGTTCAAGGGTCAACTGTCCATTTAAATTATGTCTATTAATGTATATTATATACAAATAAAAAGTATACTTTTATACATAATATATAAATATGTAAATATACATAATATGTAATATATATACATAATATATAAAATTAAAAATATATATTTAAAATATACATAATATAAAAAATAAAAAGTATATGTGTAATACATATCATACATAATATACATATTGTACTTAATATATAAAATATATGTATATTTAAAACAAAATTTAAAAAATTGAATTAAATACTTAGTTGTAATTCCAATACTTAAAATACTTCATGAAATATATTTATTTTTGTCAAAAGCTACAAGACTATTCAGAAAAATTAGTCTTCACTCACTTTAACACATTTTGTACCAAGATCCCAGCAACCACTCCCATAGTGGTGGGAAGACTGGCTGCACACACACCTTCTCGTTTCAGAGTCTTTTCATCAATATTTGCAGCAACTACAAGTGGTGGGGCACACTACAGGAAAAAAGAATTTAAAAATATAATTCAAAAAATGGAAAATGTAGGTGTTCCAAATAAAATTCCACCATATTCAGTTTTTCTTTCTTTGAACTGTAATGTATTTTCAATGCCCGTAAGAACTGTAGTACTTAACAGTGAAAAATAACCCAAAATGAATTATGCATACCGCAAAACAAGCAGATTCTCCAGGAATTATGAGTTGTATGTGCCCCGAAACTGCATTTTCACTGACCCCAGACTCCATCCAAGTTTGTCCAAGTTCATTACAAGCCTTGGTAGAAATAGGTAAAAATAAAAGAAAAGAACATAAAGAGCAAGAAGTAATTTACCATAACTTCTTTTCATGAAAAACTGGGGTTGAACTGAGTGGATTACTGTGAGGATTTTTTTGTTTGTTTGTTTTAGTTAATCTTCAGAATAAAAGAGGTAAGCTGGAAATAATGTAATTCCTTGGCTATCACCACTCTGTTTAAAATAAACTGACAGGTAAGCAGTCAATAAACCGCTATTTAATTAAATTTAAGCATAGTTTATTGAATTTCTTATTAATGTAAAACTTAATTTTTCTAAAACTATTTCAGCAACAAAAAATGTCAAATGTCATCTGAAAAGCTGAAAACAATAATTTAAAGGAAAAAGAATTTAGTTTTATTTTTGAGAAACCATGTTTAAAGGCAATTTATATATATTTCTACATTTACTTAAGAATAAAGTAATTACAAATAAAACAAAGTTAACCAAGAATAACAGTATTATAAGATATTCCTTTATTTTAAAAATTGTACAGCACAAGTATCCAATATTTTATAGTCTCCTTTGCTGGCATACAAGAGATTAGGATGTCAAAACATGTGCCCCTAGAGTAAGGCCAGAAAGGTCCCACAGCCATTAGAATACATTTCAAAAGTTGGCTAAGGGAACATTAAAAATAAATAAAACACATTTAAAAAGGGTATAAATGCAGAACTATTTTTAGGATGAGGAATATATACTGATCAAATACACAGGGAAATAATAAATTCCTAAATATAACATTTTACACAACAGGAATACTCACTGTATTTATTGCCATTCGAGCTTCAAAATTGTCCACACAGCTAAGAACTAGGTCAACAGGTTTTCCCTCTTCTAACCCACCATTACTAAGCAAAGAAAATAAATTTTATTTGAAAAAAAATCAGGACACAAAATACATTTTAATTTGTATGTTCAGTCACATATTTATTGTTTCAGTAAATGTTTAAGTATAATTATGATATAGTATTTAATATTAAAGATCCAGTATAAAGTATTAAATAACTATTAATATAATATCAACAATAATACAGTACTTCTTACACAAGACATACAAAGATGCAAGTATAAAGTCTATTTACAAAAGTTACCATTTACCTATCAACTTTCAGAATTTTATTCAAATGTAATAAAAAGTTTATTGGATACAATTCATTATTTCAGTGGTGATACAAGACTGTAGAAAACCACTTTCAGATAGAAATATATTCTAGAACACAATGTATAGTTGAAGATTTCTTGTTATACTATTATAATAATAGGGTTTTTTTAATTTGTTTTTTATTTTGTTGTTACCATTGTATTTTGGACAATATATGTACTTTTAACTGAGCTCCCACTCTATAAAAACTACACAAAAATTAACTATTTTAAAAGCAGAAATATATTTCACTCTACCAACTCATTGCATTAATCATCAGTACCTTTTCTAATAATACTTGTTTAACTGAGCTGGACATTGTGCAAAATATTCATAAATAAAATTTTACCTTATTCTATCCATGAAATGTTGAAAGTTTTCTACTGTGGTTATATTATAGTTGTGTACTTCAAAAAGAACATCAGGATTAATGTTCCTAAGAGGGGGGAAAAAGGAATGATAAAAACTACTAATAGGAATAGCAAGAGAAAGCAGGGAAAAAAGTTGAAAATCACTTAACAGAGATCAGAGAAATGGAATTCAAGCTATTTAAAGGAAATCCTAAGTACTCTTCTACCTCTTAATGTATAGATTATCAGAAAGTTTACAAAAATGTTTCAACAATCTACGTGCCGGAAATTAAGCCTTATCACCTCTGTTAGCTATATCTCAGCCTGACAAAAGAGCTTCTTTGTTCCTTTATTCAATTCAGTGCAAGTACGTTTGGGCCCACAGAGAAATTTACTAGAATAAGTGTTGGCCTGCTATGGCCTTTAGGGCAAAACTGACCTGCCACCTGTTTTTGTAAGGTCTGAAAGTTAAGAATGGCTTTCACACTTTTAAATGGCTGCAGCAGGGGGCGGGGTGGGGGGGCGGGGGGAGGGTCAAAGAAACCAACAGTAATAAGGGGGACGGAGGGAGGTGGGTAACAGGAAAAGAAGGGGAAGGGTCAAGTCAAGGAACATGTATAAAGGGCCCCTGGACAAAGCCAAAGTGGGGAAGGATTGAGGGTGGGAGGTAGGGGTGGGTCAGGCAGGGGAAAGTGGTGGCGGGAAAATGGAGACAAATGTATTTGAACAATTTTTAAAAAATTAATAATAATAATAAAAGAAAGTAAAAAACATCAGAAGAACAATTATTTCGCGACATGTAAAATACATAAAATTTTAATTTCAGAGCCCATAAATAAAGTTTTATTGGGTTAGAGCCATGCTCATTCACTTTTATATTGCCTACAGGTGCTATTACATTATAGAACTGCACAGTAGACAGTTTTGGCAGAGATCATAGGGTCCTCAAAGACTAAAATATTTAGCCTTATACAAGAAAATGTTGCCTACCCAGATCCAAGGGATAAGAGAATCCTTTGTATAAGTGAAACCTGTCTTTTAATAGAGGAAAAATTCAGGTCTATTTATACTTTAGGTTAACTCATTCCAAATACACAAAGTAAGATTTCACTAACTATGGTCTTTAATTGCTATTCCACTTACCTCAAAGTATGTTCTGCTGCTTGAACTTTACTTAATCCTGCTTGATGAGGTTGGAAGAAAAGTCGATTCATATTGGCTAGTTCCACCTTGTCATAGTCAAAGAGTAGCAACTAAAATGAAAACAGTGGTATTCTGATGAAAAACGTAACAAAGAATTAAATAGTGGACTTTACAGTTGATGGGTCTAACAGTTTGACAGTAATGATAAACTCTGAAAAATAAGATGGCATATATTAACTCATTTAATGCTCAAATGCAGTAAGTATTCAATACATAGATACTATTATCCTCACTTTAGAAATGAGATAACTAGGGCACTTGCTCAAAAGCCACTCAGCTAATTTGTAGTGGAAAAGGGATTCAAATTCAGACATTCTCAATCCATCATCTACAGCCTAACCATAATGCTGTGCTGCCTCTCTAAATGATTTATGTAATTTAATTATCAAATCCAATTTGATAATTAAATTACATAAAAATTTAAAGCAATTTTCAGTAAGATAAAAACAAATGCCATAACTTAAAACTATAGTATAGCATGACTCATTTTGTGAATATGACACTATATACACTCATGCCATGACTAAAGCATTATTTCAGAAAGAATTACTAACTAATCACTTACTGCTTGCTGCTGTATATTTAGGCATGACAGTGTTACACACACACACAATTTTAACATGGCCCAAAGATCCCATTTCTTATCAGTAAAAACAGGTTGGACCCAAGATTGTCCAAAGCCCTTTCCTTGATATAAAATTCTGTGACTTTGTAATATAATTCTCAGCATCCTAAATTTAACAATGAAATCAAAAATGAAATTTTCTTCTTCTCAATATGGAAACTAAAAAAAATTAACCCAGCCCATTAAAAATACCTATATAACCCTTAAAATCTTACTGGAAAAAGATATCAATTACGCCCGCTATGATAATTTTCCAACACTAGTATCTCCAAAATATGATTTATGTAAGCTCATTCAACAATATTTATTAGATCAGGCCAAGCATTAAGTTTGAGTTTTGGCCTCATAGCTGGTTTATGAATAAGCTGCAGGAAACCCTAAATTTGGAGACAGGAGGTGTGAGTTCTAACTCTGCCACTAATTAGTTCTGATCATAGGTTTTCACTTTTTAGGCCTGTATCCTCGTATGTGAAATAAAGCAGCTGATCTGGATCTGGTGATCTAGGGTGTGCAGGGGATTCCAGAAACTTTCAGGGATAAAAAGTGGGCTCTGGGTCTCTAATCCTCCACTTCCCTTTTTTTACATATTGGAGAAAGAGTTCTGAAACTTAACCTATGTAGATCCTTAGTGTATAGCCTTAAGTGCACATTGGAATCATTTGGGGAATTTTTAAAAAATACAGATGTCTGAGCCCCATTCCCAGAGATTCTGATTAACTTCTTATGGGTGCAGCCCGGGTATCAGAATTTTTAAAAACTTCCCAGGGAAATTCTAATTACAGCAGTATTTAATAATCGCTGTTCTAGACACTTGATACCCAAAATGTGTCCTAGGCTAGCATCAGCATCACCTGGAGCTCGTTAAAATACAGGAGGACATACCCAAGTTTACTATGCATATGAATCATCTAGAGATCTTGTTAAAATACAGATTTAGATTTAGCATGTCTGGAGCAGGGCCTAGGAATCTGTAGTTCTAACAGGCTCCCAGGTGATGCTGATGCTACTACTTCAGGGACCATACTGTGAGTAGCAAGGATCAGGAGGTTCTTAAAGTGCCATCCCTGGAACATCAGAATCACCTGGGAACTTGTTAAAAATTCAAATTCTTAGATCCACCTGAAACTTTCAGTATCAAAACCACTAGGGTAGGATCTGGTAATCTGTGGTTTAATAAGCCTTCCAAGAGATTCCGATGCACACTCAAATCTGAAAACCATCGATCTCCAGAGATCATAAAGTCTTCACAGACTTTAAAATGTTAGTGAACACTTTTAGCATTTTGGTGTTGTCATATCTATATGAGTACCAACTTTGAAATTACTTTCTTTTAAAAATCTGGTGCATGGAGTGAGCCAACATATTAAAAAACATTGATAAACTTTCTGGGAAAATGTGTGCTCTATCAAAATGACAAATTAAAGGGTACGTATTTGTGGAAAGCTTTGGTATTCAACCACTATGTATCTAACATCATGGACTCAAACTCTGTAAGTCTAAGACTGGTAGATTGATACCTGGAAAAAAGTTACTTCTTCTTTTCTACAATCTAAACCAATTTTTGAAAAAATATATAAAATATATATGGTTTTAAAAAGATCTGGAGCATTCTCCAGTTCAATTTCAAACACTTAAGTCCAAATTGTTTATACATTATCCCAAACAAAAAAATTCCTGAACACAATTAGGCGGTCCCTGTTTAATCAGCATTAATATCAACTTTCATTTTGGCTGGGTTATGTCTTAACTCCCTTCAGTAGAAAGAGCAATCTGAATAAATATACCACAAATCAATAAACCATTAGTAATAACGGGGGGAGGGGCCTGAGAAGGAGGGATCCTACTTTGTACCTGATTTACTCCAGAAATGAGTAGTTCTCTACCTAATAGGCAAAGAGAAATGTTTTTACCTTACCAATACCACATCTTGTCAGCATTTCAGCAGTCACACTACCAACTCCACCAACACCTACTACTGCTACAGCAAAGGTACGGATTTTCTGTAAAGTGCAAAATTATATGTCTTGGTTAATAAGTCTTCATCAAAAATTATTTTCATTTATTGAAATCATCTTCAAAAACATGGAAAGATTTATCATACCTCATAGTCGTTTACAATCCCCATTCGTTTCAATGCCATCAGGCGGCTTAAAACAAAGAAAAAAATGTTTTAAAGGTTACAATCTTAGTGACATAGGTAAATATACGTCACAGAAAATAGACACCAAAAGTCAATCATTACTAATCCACTAAAAGAGAAGAAATCTTTCAGCTGGGTTTTACTAGATGAAACTAGATCACCAGGGCTGCTTTAAAAACACTAATGCCTACCTGGCTGGTATGGCTCAGTGGCTTGAGCACACAGGCCTACAAATCAAAGGGTTGTCAGTTTGATTCCGTCAGGGCACATGCCTGTTGCAGGTCAGGTCCCCAGTAGGGGGCGTAGGAGAGGCAACCACACACATTGGTGTTTCCTTCTCTTTCTCCCTCCATTCCCATAAATAAATAAATAAATAAATAAATAAATAAATAAATAAATATTCACTCCAAAACTTCCTCTGAGGCTTTATATGTCATAAGTAAATAAAAACTTTTAAAAAAAATTCACACTCTCCTACTCTTCAGAGGAAAAGAGCAACATTACATCGTTCTTGTGTCACCTACTTTAAAACTTTTCACTACTTTGAAAACTATCCGAGTGTTAGCCGCTAGCCACATTACTTAGTGGCTTATTTATTTTTACTGGGTAAACAGTTCCATATGAATTTTGAAATAAAATAAATCAAACACTGGTCCAGGCCTCAATATGTCCTACTAGCTCCCTGATCTGAGGCAAGTCACAACAGTTTTCTAAGCCTCAATTTTCCCCTCTATAAAATGGGGTAAAATAGCAGTGGTCAACTTCTGTCGTGGTGAGGAGGAAATGCATGGCTGACAATGCATGAAAATGCTTAGCAGATAGTGATATTATATGCAACTGAGCAATAAAGTCTTACGCAAAGCTTAGCGTGTACAAGCTATTCTAAGAATTTTACATATACTGACGTTTCCAATCCTCACAACTCTGACAGAGACAGATATTACCATTATCCCCAGTTTACAAGTGGGAGGCTGAAACAGACAGGTTCATAACTCAAAGTTACTCCGCTAATAAGAGCTGGGGTTTGAATTCAATTAATCTAACTCTAGAGTCGTTAATCTTAACCACTGCGTAATATTCAGCCTGGTGAATTAACAGACTTCAGGCAACGGAGAAGGGAGGGGACGGAACTGGTAAAATCGAATGGCTTTAGAACTAATCAAGCTATCCCCGCCACGCCCCCAATTTAAGAAACATTGAGAAGCCTTTACGAAACTCAAAAGGTTATGTTTAGCGGTTTTCCATTTGATGTCATCTTCTGAAAGTTGTTACTATCAATTTGATGAGGCTGACTGACGGAGTCAGGAGCGGTAGAAAATTGCATACGTGTCCTGGGCAGGCACAGGAGCAGTGCCATATGGCTGTTTGGGCTGTTCATTTGTTTGGGTTTTTGGTTTTTGTATTGTTTTGTTTAGTTTTTTAAAAGAAAGAACATCGTTTGACCAGCACTAAGGCTTGGCATTTGCCTGTTTGGGGCCCCAGAACAAGAAAAGGGAGGTGGGATGCCGTGCGAGCTGGACGAAAGAGGAGCGCTTCACTCAAGAGTACATGGAGACCGTGACCTCTCCGACCTCGCCTCCCTCGCCCCCTCTGACCCGCGGGCACCTGTAGGGGTTGGAGTCCACCACTTCAGGGCTCATCTTCTCGATGCGCGTCCGGCCGCCTCCGCCGTCGCTGCCCCCCAAGACCCGCCGACTTCTTTCTTGGGCCAGTTCTTGCTCCAGCTCCTCAATCCGCTGCTGCAGCCGCTCCACAGACTCAGTCATGGCTGGGTCTCCGGTCGCTAACGCTCTCAGCCCCGGCCGTCGCCGTCGCCGTCGCCGCCGCCCCACGTTGATAGGTCTGCTGGGCTCCTAAGGAGTATGTAAGGCGGCACCTAGGTGCCTCCCTGGCCCAGAAACGGGGAAGTGCTGCCAGCGCCTCACGGATGGACACTTTTTCGCCACTTCCGCAAGCCTTCGCGATACTGGTTCCGGTTGCAAGTCGTCCCTCCCCCTCATGAAAAAAACCAAACAGACAAAAGCGGCTTTTAGCTCGTTTCTTTGCGGGGTCCTAAGAGACCAGGCAGCAGCAGAGCCAGGGTCCTAAGTGTCCAGAGCGGGCGGCCGGGGATGTTGCCTTTTAAATTGCGCGACTAGAGGAAACACCAGGATCTTTTATTCCTGGCCTGGAGGGTCCGTCGGGTGCTTTTCTGAACCGGACCCCATAGGCCTTCAGCTGCGGGTGCAATAAAATTAGAAGTGAAAGACGCCTCTGCGTTTTTATTTGCCGGTAACGATTAGTGAGCTTTGCGGTCTTTAAAATTGAGGTCTCCAGTTCTGACGCTGACTGATAATTTAAAATCCTCACACACAAGAGTCCTACAGGCTTTGCCCAACTACCGCCGAAGTCACCGTATTCTGCCAGTCAGTGTTGCTCAGCAACGGTGCCTAACGTCTGTGATTGGCTGGAGACCTGGGCGTTTGCGGGCCTCGCCCCCGACCTTGCCAGCTCTCTATAAAACAGCACTTCCCCGCGCCGGAACTATCTGTGGATTCAACGCCCCTGCGTTCCGTGACAATGGTCTTGGAACCCCGTGCCTCCGGCGATCCAGACGCGGCCGAAGTGCTGCTCCAGCACAAGTTCGACTGCAGGTCCCTGGAGGCCTACCTCAACCAGCACTTGCCTGGCTTCGGGGCCGAGCCCGAGGCTGAGCTGACCGTTGCCCAGTACAGGTATCGACGCCAGCCTTCTCCAATAGAAACACATCCGTGCATTGTGCTTTTCTTCCTCTGGCCCTGGGTGGCTTTCCCAATTCCCCGCACCCCAGTTTCTTTTCCGGTAATGATGCACTCTGCAGGCCGGAGTATTCCCTGTATTCCACTGGGGTATTTCCAATTCGCGGACAATATGGAAGCGATCATAGTCACGATTCCAGCCACGAGAAGGAATCCTTGTTAAGAGATACAGTTATGTACCTCGAAGATTCACTGAGGCTTGGAAGCTCTGTGGGATGTGCAGAGGCCTTCTCTCAACTTTTGTTCTATAACCATTAGATCTTCTCCCCCTCCCCCACCGAGAAATAGGTGAAATTCCTTTATAATTGATTATATTCTCAGGTTGAGTTAATGACACCAGTGGGGGATGCAGAGGCACCGAATTCTAATGCTAGATCTTGCACTTGGCAGATGACAGCACCACTTTGGACTTAAGTTCTTTGGAAGTGAGGGAATGGAACTGAAAGACGATCCTGAAAATACTGTTCTCTGTTAGGTAGAGAGTGCCATGGGGTGTGAAAGAATTCACAAAGAAAAGAAAAGGCAACGATCAAAGTTTATTTACTTCCCAAGAGAAGGGAGGGGCTGGTGTGAAGAGATACACCCACTGTGAACTGCAGGGGCATTAAGTTTTTATTGGGTGATAAAGGCGGAGAGGGATGGAGCTGGGTCAGGGCAGTCATGGCAATTAGTTGTAAATCAGGTTTCAGGCTGTTTGTGCAGGCTTTAATTTGTTTTACTGTTACCTTTGGGTTCACGGTCCAGGCCTCTGGTCTGGTTTGTCTTGTTTGTATTAAGTTTTCTAACAACTGTGTAGGAATGTTTTCAGTAATCTCCTCCTGAGAATAGAGGCTCAGAGAAACAAGTTAATTATGCCTGACAGGCTCAAGGGAACAGAGGTAGCCTGCCGAAAGGGGCTTTTTGTCCTCCTTTCTTTTTTAAAAAAATGTTTTATTGATTATTCTCTCCCAGTTGTCCCCATTTTTTTTCCTCCTTTGCCCCCCTCCACCCAGTACCTCCCTTCCCTCCAGCAGTCCCCCTTCTTAGTTCATGTCAATAGGTGGTGCATACAAGTTCTTTAGCTTCTCCGTTTCCTATACTATTCTTCATATACCCCTGTCTATTTTGTACCTAGCAATTTTGCTTTTTAATCACTGCACCTTTCCTCCCATTTTCCCACTTGCTCTTTGCTACTGAAAACCCTCCAAATGACCTCTGTATGATTCTGTTCTCTTCTGTTTGTTTGCTTGGTTTGTTTTTTTTAGATTCAGTTTTTTGATAGTTGTGAATTTGTTGTCCTCTTAATGTTCATAGTTTTGATCTTTTTCTTCTTCTTAAATAAGACCCTTTAACAATTTCATGTAATAATGGCTTGGTGATGATGAACTCCTTTAGCTCTACCTTGTCTGGGAAGCACTTTATCTGCCTTTCCATTCTAAATGATACGTTTGCTGGATAGAGTAATCTAGGTTGTAGGTCCTTGCTTTTCATCACTTTGAGTACGTATTGCCAGTTCCTTCTTGCTTGCAAGGTTTCTTTTGAGAAATCAGCAGACAGTCTTATTGGAACTCCCCTGTAGTCAACTCTCTGCTGTTGCTGCATTTAAGATTCTCTCTTTATCTTTAACCTTTGGCATTTTAATTATGACGTGTTTTGGTGTGGTCCTCTTTGGGTCCAACTTATTTGGGATTCTCTGTGCTTCCTGGACTTGTATGTCTATTCCCCTTGCCTAATTAACAAAGTTTTCTTTCATTATTTTTTCAAATAAATTTTCAATTTCCTGCTCCTCCTCTTCTCCTTCTGGCACCCCTATGACTTGGATGTTGGTATGTTTAAAGTTGTCCCAGAGGTTCCTAAGCCTATACTCATTTTTTTTAAATACTTTTTTCTTCTTGCTCTTCTGATTGAATGCTTTTTCCTTCCGTGTGGTCGAAATTGTTGATTTGATTCTCGGGTTCATTCTCTTCACTGTTAGTTCCCTGTAGATTTCCTTTATTTCACTTAGTGTAACTTTCATTTCTTCCCTTATTTTTTTTGCCATACTCAATGAGTTATTTGAGCATGCTGATCACCAGTGTTTTGAACTCTGCATCTGTGATAGGTTGGTATTTTCCATTTCATTCAGTTATTTTTTGGGGGGGGTTTGTTCTGTTCTTTCATGTGGGCCATATTTCTTTGTCTCCTCAATTCAGCAATCTCCCTGTGTTTGTTTCTATGTATTAGGCAGAGCTACTTTGACTCCTTGTCTTGGAAAAGGCACCTGTAAATTGTGTGGGGCAGAGCCTTAGGTAATCTCTAGGGCAGGACAACCCACACACTGCTTTGTGGTTCTATATGAGGGGAAGACTAGTAGAAGGGACAGTGCACTGCCTGGCTTCTGGAGATTTGCCCCGCACTCACCCCATCTCTAGTCACTTCACCCACTTTCTGTATGCAACTGGTACCCTTCCAGCTGCTGCCCTGGTGGTATGAATCCTAGAGTGGGAGGGTTTATATATGTCCTTGGTCCTTGTGGGCCCTTTAAATGGACTCTTCTGAAAATCTGGCAGTACCTTCCACCACCCTAAGGGCCACTGGTTTTTACAGCCAGAAGTTATGGGGACTTATCTTCCAGCGCTGGAACCCTGGGCTGTGTGGTCAGGAGCGGGGCTGGGATCACTCACACCCAAGTTATCCCTTCCATTTTTTATCTACCGCATGTGATTGCGGGAACTGCCCATTCCGCCACCGCAGCCACCGCCTCCCTGTGCCACACCGCGTCTACTGTCCTCTCTCTCTGTGTCCGCAATTCTGTCCCTCCTACTCATCTGGATGAATGTGGCTTCTTTGAATCCTTGGTTGTTGGACTCCCCTACAGTTCAATTTTCTGACAGTTCTGGTTGTTATTTGTGTTGCGATATAGTTGTAATTCTCTCTGTGGTTGCACTGAGGCAAAACATGTCTACCTACACCTCCATCTTGACCAGAGGTTCAGTTTTTTTGTCCTTTCATACCACACTTTGAATCTAGCTCTAGTCTGATGTTTTATAATAGGAAATAAATTTTATTCTAAAAATAGAGTTTTGATAAACAGAGGTAGAGAAACAGTCTTGGCTTTTAGAAAATTATTATAGATCTACTGCTTGCTGAATAGAATTTAAATGTATTACATAAACTCTCTGAAAACGTTTCCTATTCTGTAATAAATAAATGCCTGTTCTGAGTAATCCTGAAATTAAATGAAATATTGTATTGTAGGTAAAAGGACTTAAATATTGCAACAGACTCATATACCAGTGTCATTTATCACTAGGATTTATATTCCTGATCAATGAAAATAAAAATAATGTCAAAGGAGATGGATCAAAGGGAGTTCTGAGTGATAGAATTAAAAGGCCCCAACAGATAATATAGGATGAAATAAGTGGAATAAAAAAGTAGCCAAGGCTTCCAGCGTAGAGGTCTTGTGTGGTAACAAACTAAAACAGGTTAAAGTTCAAATTTCAGCTATTCCACTTGCTTGGGAATCCGGACAAATTATTTAACTCTTTTGATCATTGAGTCCTTCTTTGGCAAAATGGAGATAGTCATATTTATCTCTTAGAGTTGTTGGAGAATTATCTAACTGAAAGATACTTAATTCCAAATTAGGTTCAATGTTACATAAGTCAGGTTGTGCTTGATAAATGGAATTGGTTGTGGCATAAATAGTATAGGTATACCTCAGTTGTGTTTAGCTTTATTTCACTTCACAGATGTGTTTTCTTCAAATTGAAGGCAAAATCGTCCACCAGCAAAAAAAAATTTAAGACTCGCTTTATTGCTCTACTCACTTTTATTGCAGTGGTTCGTAACTGAACCCGCAAGTATATAGCATATGGATGGAACTATCCCAGAGAAAATACACATTTATTTCCAAGACACATGAAAAAGTTTATGAAAATTGAAGACATGTTAGGCCACAAAGGAAGTTTTAAAAATTCTGAAATGTCAATTTTTAAAAAATTCAGAATATAAATGCCAAAAGTTTAGAATTCAGCTGAAGAAAGACAGTTATCCAATGCATGTTTAGCAACTAAATGATTCATGGACTTAAAAGGCAATAATCTACAGATAATAAGAGAGTTTATTACAGTTCAGGGTGCAAAAACCAATTGCATTTCTGTACTTTAGCAACAGTTAAAATGTAATCTTTAAAAATATACAATTAATGAGCTCATCAAAAAATATAAATTATCTCAATATTAATCTAATATATGGGAGATGTTTGCAGAGAAAATTATAAAACTTTATTAGGATCTTAGAAAGAATTGAGAGATGCCAATGTTTATGAATAGAAAGTTCCATTAGTAAATTTCTTTTTTCCCAACTGAAGTATAGAGTACAATAGCAATCAAAACCTTAATTTTTTCTCTAATTTGAGAAATTTCTCCTTAATTTTATGTGCAAGAGCAAAGGACTAAGAATAGCAAAAAAAAAAAAAAAAAAACACTTCCAAAGAGGAACTAAATAAGAAATTTGAATTAAGAGGGCATGATATTAACACAGACATAGACCAATAAAATCATAATGTCCACAAAAACATCCACATATACATAGAATTTTTATATATGACAATGCTGACATCAAGAGTCAGTATGTGTGGGGGAGGACTTTTTAATAAATTATACAGGTATAATTATTACTTGCATGAAAACATTAAAATTAGACCCTTTCATCATTCTATCTCACAAAGTTCCAGGTGAATTAGAGTTAAAGCAAAACTCAAACCACTTGGAAGACATGTAGGATATGATCTTTGACTTTGGAGTAGAAAAGAAAATATTTAAAAGATGAAAGCACAACCATTAAGGGAATGACTGATATATTTTCAGTGAAAGACACCTTAAAGCAAGTGAAATTAAAAAAGAAATGTTTGCACTGTATAGAAATAATGGATAAAAGATTAACAACCAGAATGTATAAACTCCAATAGCCCAACAGAAAAATGGTTAAAAGACTCGAAGATGCCCAAGGGTATTTGCACTGTAGGGAAAGGCAGATAGAAGCAATAAGATACCATTTCACACCTCCATCTTGACTTTTTTTTTTAATCTGACAATTTCAAACATTGGTCAGGATATGGAGCAATAGGGACTCATATCCACAGTTGGTGGGAACATGATTAATATGACTACTTTGGAGAACAATTTGTCATGATCTTGTAAAGATGAAGATGGGAAGATACACATACCCCATGACACAGCAATTCAGTTCTTAGGTATATACTCTTATGAAATTGTTGTACTAGGGTATCAGGAGATAATCTACAAATATATTCATTGCACTGTTTATAATAGCAAAGATATAGGAAATGATACAATGTTCATCAGTAACAGAATGAACAAATTGTATATTTATATGATGGAATAACATACAGCAGTGAAAATGATTCAGCTGCAGCTATATACAACACAGAATCAAAAAATGGACAAATAAGCGGTATACTGTTTAAGGATCTAGACTTCAAGGGAAAGATAAATTTAAAAATCAGGACAGTAGGTATTCTGAGAGGAGGGGCACACAGAGGGCCTCAGATATAGTAATTTTCTTAAACTGGGTAGTAAAAACACTGGTGTTTCTCATTATTCTTTATCCTTTACAAACTTTGTAAATACTCTTGTTTAATCTATGCAAAATTTATTTTTTGAATTTGCAAAAATTAAATCATATTGGAAATACAAAATATTTAGAGTTAAATACTGAAAGCATTTTACAGCTTAATGCAACAAAACCTACGTTTTGTGGCTAACCATCTAACATGTACCTAGCACCACTCCAATCACTGGGGATATAACAAACAAAAAATCTTGCCTTCTTAGAATTTTCCTTCTATCTGGAGAATGCAGACAATAAATAAAATCACTTTCTAAGTATTACAGCATAGGAGAAGGTGATACGTATTATGGAGAGAAAAGAGAATAAGCAATGTTTGGGGGTTGGGAGCAGGAAGATCTTACTGAGAAGGTGACATTCAGCAAAGACCAGAAGGAGATGAGGATATAAGCCGTGCAGTTATCTGGGGGAGAACATTCCAGACAGAGGAAACAGCAACAGTAAAGGCTCTGAAGGGGAGCACACCCACTGTGTTGAGGGAATGTAAGCCAGTGTGTCCAGAGTAGTTTGGCTCTTACTTTGAGTTGAGATGGGAGAGATTAGGATTTGGGGGGCAGAGGAGGGACGGAGTTGTCTTTTAAAACAAAATCTCTTTGCCTGTTGTGTTTGGCTGAAAAGACCAACTCGAGGAGACCAACTTTGAATATAGTGCAGTGATACAATAGGGAAATACTAGCAGCATGGATCAGAATGGTAGTGTTGAATAGGTGCAAGATGATCATATTTTGGATTTATTTTGTAGGACTGATCAGATGTGGGGGTATGAAAGAAAAAGAGAAGAGACAACTAGTATTCCATTTTTGTCTTGGTAACTGGAAGGATGGAGTTACCATAAAATAAAGTAGAGGTGACTATAGAGAGGCAGATTTGAGGGGAAATATCAGAACTCACTTTTGGAATGTTAAGTTTTGAGATGCCTTTTAGACATCCAAGTGGATCTGTACAGTCAACAGATATGTGAGTCTGGAATTCAGGGCAGAGGTCTGGACCAGACATGCGCATTTAGGAGGCATTGATATAGAGACAGTATTTAAAGCCATGAGATCATAGAGCTTCCTTAGACAATGAGTCTTCATAAAGAAAGAGGTCTAGAAACTTAGTCCCAGCACCCCAATATTAAGAAGTTGAAAAATTGAGGGGAAGGCTGCAAAGGAGTATATGAAGGGATGGCTGGAAAAGCAGGGGGAAAATCATGGTTTGGTACCATAAAAGTATTGGCGGAGGGAGTGTAAACAGCTCTCAAGTTTTTCCACAAAAGGGAATAAAAATGTTTTACATATAGGGAGAAGTGGGGTTAAGAGAAGGCTTTTTTAAAAAATGGCAAGCGATAAGTTACTCTCCTCTACCTGTGTTAGTTATCATTCTCCAGCTGCCACTATGTTGCCATCTGCCTTTTATCATCCAAAAACTCATGGTCTGAACCTCTGGTAGCTCCACTCTTGGCTTTCCAACATTGAAATGGATGTATTTTCATTTTGTGTTTCTTCTGACATTTCAGTAGGATTTGGGGAAGATGGAAAATATATCTTTGTAATTGACCTTTCTTTCCCCGTATCTAGATCAGGACAGTCCAATCCAACCTTTTATCTCCGAAAGGGCTTTCAGGAATATGTCCTCAGAAAAAAGCCACCTGGTTCACTTCTTCCTAAAGCACATAAGGTATGGTATACAGAAACAATACCAAATTCTTTGTTGACAAATAAATGCATTTTATACACACAAAACCAATTTAAATTGCTTTTAAAAGTTATCACATGATTATTAAATAATAGAAAATGCATTTTATTTCTTAGATGAAAAATTTTACTTGAGCTGTACTGCCCATTTTTGTTTTGAAAAAAGATTTGAAGCCGAAATTAAGTCTGCCTTTAGGCCATTAATCTTGGACAACACCCAACCCTCTTATGGATCTTATTCCTTCTCGTACAATTGGACAGAAATATAGTCATCCAGTGAATACTTTTTTAAAGATTTTATTTATTTACTTTTAGAAAGAGGAGAAGGGAGGGAGAAAGAGACAGAAAGAAACATTGCTGTGAGAGAGAAACATTGATTGGTTGTTTCTCCTACATGCCCCAACTAGGGACCAAACATGCAACCCAGGCATGTGCCCTGACTGGGAATCAAACCAGCGACCCTTTGCTTTGCGGAGTGATGCCCAACCAACAGCCATTGAGGCCAGGGCTCCAGTGAATATTCTCAGTGCTACTCATTTATAGATGTTTTGTATTTTGGTTATGTATTTAAATTATGTTTTTAAAAGCACATTATATCTTAGAATGATATCTATTCACTGAGTTATTTTAAAATATTTTCTATGATGATTTCCTGATCTTTTAGTGGTAAAAAGAAATATTTGAATACTTATTTTATAGTATTCTTTAAATATTAGACTTAGAATTATAAAAGATTATTTTTTTAAATCAGGTCCTTCTGTTTTCAGAAAACATTATCTATGAATTTTTCGAGAAGAAAACATAAATACAGAAGTCAAAGTCCTGGAGAACATTAATATTTATAATTAGAGTATTATTATAATCACATGTAATAGGTGCTTCCCAGCTGATTTCTCAGGCTGTTAAGGAGTGGGCTTTATGTCACAGTAATGGAAAATGCTGACTGTGATTTTCTCAATCTCATATCATACTCCCAGAAACATGAAGTAACTTAGATGCTTAGGATCAAAAAAGTTGGGTAGCTTTTATTAAGCCTCAACATGGCACAGCTGAAGGAGAATCCCTGCCTATCCAGAGATTATTGCCCCCTGAAAACAGCTCTATTTGTCTCTCTTTTTGATAACGTCCTACCAGAAGACATTAGAACATTACAAAATGCTCTCAGCTTAAGGATCTGGGGTACTTTGTTTCAACTGCCTTTATTTTCCCCAGGTCTACATTGAAAAAAAGCAAGGCTCCCACACTGTCATCCACTTCGTGACTCCCTAACCGTTTCATCCCCACCCCCACCTCAGCCTTCCCCCATTTCCAAGCAACAAGGTGGTAATAAACACTTCTTTTCTACAGCCTTTGGCACCACTGGCTTCACTCACCTTGGGCATGGATTTAAGCGCTTCCCTGCTGTAGTTATTGCAGCAGCACGTGCTTATCCCTGCTATCAAAATGACTGCATGGTTGCTTCTCCTCAAGAGTCATCAGTTGCCACTGCCTGAGCCTGGGGCAAGGCGACTTTGCATGCAGATGAGCTGGCCTCACAGTTCTTGTGCAGGCTCTGTCCTCAGGTCCTGCGTGATAGGCCCATCCATCTGTCCTGGTCGAGGAGGCCCATTTCTCCTGATCTTATTGGGCTCCTGCTTCTTTACAAGCTTGCTCCTCATTGCTTCCTTTCCCAATACTTGTCTTGAGGTCTATAGCAGCCTCAGTTACTAGGAAAGATCTCCAAATCCCTGGTACCTCCACTGATCTCCAGAATGAGCAGTTGCTTTTTCCTTCTATCAGTACCTACTGGCCTCCCCCAGCCTCCTACGGCTGACCATGCCCAGAGCCTTAGAATAGAGTCTTGCCTGAGTCCCCATGAGAGACATGAGAGAGACAGAGTGAGCCAGTGATCAGGAGACTGCTGAGAACAAAGAGATGTTTTATTATAATATCTGTGGAATATTGTGGTCAGGATCTGTTGTCTTAACATTACCAGAGCTAAGATTAAGCCCCATGAATATGCCTATTCTTTGTAGCCTAATTAAATTATGTTTTACAATAATACTAAGTTTAAACTTTCCACTGTTATGTGTCAATTATACCAAAAAAAAAAAAAAATTCCTGCAGAAAAAAATAAATTATTGTGTTTTAATGCTGGTCTAATTTATAATTATAGTAATTGAACTGACTACATTTGAAGAAAATGATAAGGAAACTATTATCCTCTGGGTTATTTTATTTTTTAAACATACAGGGTTTTGTTTTGGTTTTTAATATTTTATTTATTTATTTATTTTTAAAGAAAGGGAAAGAAACATCGATGTGTAGTTGCCTCTCGCATGCCCCCTACTGGGGACCTGGCCTGCAACCCAGGCATGTGCCCTGACTGGGAATCGAACTGGTGACTCTTTCGTTCAGGGGCTGGCGTTCAACCCACTGAGCCACACCAGCCAGGACTCCTCTGAGTTATTTTAAAATTGAATTCTAGCCTTAATGTTAACTCCCAAGTAGTTATTACATTTCTGTGTTTCTGATTTTTAATATTGTACCATCCTATTTAGATTGATAGAGAATTTAAAGTCCAGAAAGCTTTGTTTTCAATTGGATTCCCTGTTCCCAAGCCTTTATTGTACTGCAGTGATGCTTCTGTCATTGGAACAGAATTTTACGTGATGGAACATGTGCAGGTAAATTAACAGTTCATCTTCCTTTGTTGTTGCTTTTATTAATAATTAAGAAATTAGATGTTGATAACGGTAGTTTATTGGTCAGCATTTTAGGTGATTAGTTTGCTTTTTCAGAACTTAAAGCTTGGTTTTAATTTGAGCACAATGTTTTCCCCCAGGGGTCAGTAAAGAGCTATATATAATGGTAACAACCAAACTGTCCAGATGGTAGGGGAGGAAAAAAATTCCAAATTGAAACTCAATCCAGTAAGAACAATATTTTAAATTGTTTAAAAGATTTTTTTATTGTAAAATATAACTTGAGAGTAGTTTTCATTCTTTAAGTTCATCTTGGTATATCTTTGTATTTTCCTTTGTGCATATATACTCATGAGACATAGTTCACAAATGAATGTTTTTCTAGTGTATTCTACAAAGAAGTGGTTTTGGTTGCAAAGCTGTTATCCTGTAGGGGATGGTAACAAAAGTTGGTTAGGAAAGATTTACTTTGTTTTAAATTATCTATTGTAATTGCTTCCATAGGGCCGAATTTTTCGTGATTTCACAATTCCTGAAGTTAGCCCAGCAGAACGCACAGCCTTGTATGTGGCCATGATAGAAACCTTGGCTCGGTTACATTCTTTAAATATACACTCACTACAGCTGGGAGGATATGGTATAGGTGCTGGGTACTGCAAAAGACAGGTAATAAATCCACATAGCTCTTTTTCTAAAGCTCTCAGAAGTAATATACACTGTTAATCAAAATAAAAAATATGTTTCTGAAACTTGGCTCTAACATTTAATATCATTTGGACTTATTTTAAGTGTAAAATAATTTTATATTTTTAGATCATATTTTATTTAGCAAGCTTCTGTAACTGACAGAATGTAACTGAATGCAAATTTAAAGCTATTTCAGGCTTTTCACTTACCGGTATTTTACTAATATACTTTTATACAATTTTTCCTTTTATCTTGGTTTAACAGTTATTTATTAAGCATGACTGTGTTTAATATATGCTGAATACTGTGTTAGATAGCAATAAAACAAATATAAATTCTTCCCCCAAAGGAACAATGGTCATTTTAAGAGACCAATATGTGAATCTCACTTATAGGAAACAAGAAATGGTATAAAAAAGTATGTAATCTAGTAGTAAGTGTTTTTGTACTCATCATGAGAGCTGTTCTATTCAAATGGTACATATCAGTGTGCCCTTGCTTAAGTGAGGAAAGCTTCCTGGAAGAGAGATATCTTGCACTGAGTATTTAAGGAAGTATAAAATCGAGAGTGATAGGGGACAGGTGGCGAGCGTTTAAAATCAAAGGATCAGCAGAACCAGATATTTATGGGGCTGTTTTCTCTTGTATATATGTCTTTTTGAGGAGGTTGAGGGGAGAAAAAAGAGAACTAAGGTTTAGAGAGTACTCACTGTGTGCCAGGTCTTATTACTTTTTGTAAACAGCCCTAAACCATAGGTATTGTTACTTCTGTTTTGCAGGTAAGGAAACACGTTTGCAGGTATCAAGTAACACAAATAAGTGACTTAGACGTAATTTAAATCCAGGTGTATATGATTTGAAACATACAGATCTTTACTGCATTAAATTGAATAGAGATAACCTTGAGGAGTGAAGACATAGATATAAGCAGATAAATAATATGGTCTCAGTTGATGGAGAACTTTGAGAATAGGTTGACTTCTTTACATTCAAGTCTAAGAAAAATAAAAAGTCTTTACACTACTCATACTAATAATATATTTAGAAGATTCTGTGGGTAATAGGAAAGGGTATTTAAATGAAAAGTAAAAATTTCCCTTCATCTAGCCCCCATATTCCTTTTTTGGGGATTGTTTCTTGTGACACTTCCAGAATTTTTCTGTGCCTATTTATTTGTGTGTGTCTATGTGTACTTCTTTTTCTACCACAAAATAGTTGTCAAATAAAAACAAGAACCCATGTCTCTTGCTTCCTAGGCCAGTATTGTGTGTGTGTGTGTGTGTGTGTGTGTGTGTGAGAGAGAGAGAGAGAGAGAGAGAGAGAGAGAAATCTATGTAAGTAAAATGGAACTAGATAGAAGAAAGACTTAAATGTTTAAGTTTTTAGGCTGATATTACTGTTTTAGGCTGATATGACTATCACTTAACAGGCATTTGTCTTGAGCATTTAAAAATAAAACCAAATATGATATGATTAAATTTTGCTTTAATTTTAGAAGTGCTGGATCTTACATTCTTCTTTTAGCTCTAGTACTTTTCTTATGTATATACCCTCAGGTATCAACCTGGACAAAGCAGTATCAAGCTGCAGCTCACCAGAACATCCTTGCCATGAACCAGCTCTCTGACTGGCTAATGAAAAACTTGCCAGAAAATGACAATGAAGAAAATTTGATTCACGGAGATTTCAAATTGGATAACATAGTTTTCCACCCTAAAGAGGTACTGTAAGCCATGTTTATAGTAAATGAGGTGGTCTGACATGGGACACGAGTACTAAGGAGACGTTCCCTCCACAGAGTCCTGGAGGAGGCCAGCCCATCCCCGCTTCCCCCTCCATGCAGGGCTATCTTCACCACTCAAACTTTTCGGAATGAGTCCTGCAGATTTCCTGGCATGGGTAGTTGCCTACTTTTAAGGATGGGTCTAATTCTGAGTGATACCTGATTTATTGTTTAAATAGGATTTAGGAATTTACAAGTATGTTACTGTTTTCTTCAAAGACATTTTTCATCTACTAAAAATATTTAGCTCATCTGTGTTCATGTTTTTTTCTTCTGTTCATTTTTATTTCTTTTTCCTGTTTCATGAAGACTTTTTAATTTGATTATTATAAGCTCAAAAAAGACAGAATTACAAAAGCCTCTTTTGAGACCTGGAGAGAATTGCATAAGATTAACATATTCTTGCCGTGTTTAATGTACACAGTGAAACCTTTATAAAGAGTACAAATAAAAACTAACTCTCCTCCTAGGCCTAGGATTTGAAGAATATGGTGGGAATAAGGAAATTACTTTAGTTCTCTTCTCATTATCTATGTGCCTTTGGGCAAGACATTCGGCCTTCAGTATTTGGCATCTGACATTAATGTGAAAGATTTACAGTTCCCTGAATCCTGACTCTGGAGGAAGGTTTTTCTGGGTTCATTAGTTTTCTCAAGATGCTAACATGTTTTAGGGCTCTAAATTCATATTCTAAATTTTTGGGGTTTTACATTCTTTCCCTATAGGAAAAGGACAGGAGAAAAAAGAGCATTATAAATTGCATTGTTGTCATAATTCAAAGTAGTACTATATCAATTGAAAATTCAAATACAGGTGGTACCCCATGGTGGTTTTGATCTGCATTTCTCTGATGGCTAGTGATGCTGAGCATCCTTTCAAATGCCTCTGGGCCCTCTGTATCTCCTCCTTGGAAAAGCGTCTGCCCAGGTCCTTTGCCCATTTTTTGATTGGATCGTTTGTCTTCTTGGAGTGGAGTCGAGTGAGTTCTTTACATATCTTGGAGATCAAACCTCTATCTGATGTATCATTAGCAAATATATTTTCCCATATGGTTGGCTCCCTTTTCATTTTGCTGATGTTTTCTTTCACTGTGCAGAAGCTTCTTATTTTGATGAGGTCCCACTTGTTTATTCTTTCCTTTATGTCCCTTGCTTTAGGAGACATATCAGTGAAAAAATTGCTGCGTGGGATATCTGAGAGTTTCCTGCCAATGTTCTCCTCTAGGACTTTGATGGTGTTGCGACTTCTATTTAAGTCTTTTATCCATCTTGAGTTTATTTTTGTGTATGGTGTCAGCTGATGATCCAATTTCAATTTTTTGCATGTAACCGTCCAGCTCTCCCAACACCATTTGTTGAAGAGGCTATTATGGCTCCATTTTATGGTTCTGCCCCCTTTGTCAAATATTAGATGTCCGTAGAGACCTGGGCTTATTTCTGGGCTTTCTATTCTGTTCCACTGGTCTATGGGTCTGTTCTTGTGCCAGTACCAGATTGTTTTGAGTATAGTGGATTTATAGTAGAGTTTGATGTCCGGTATTGTGATCCCCCCTACTTTGTGTTTCTTTCTCAAAATTGTTGCGGCTATTCGGGGTCGTTTATGGTTCCATATAAATTTTTGAAATGTCTGTTCTATTTCTGTGAAATACGTCATTGGTATCTTAATAGGGATTGCGTTGAATCTATAAATTGCTTTGGGTAGTATGGACATTTTGATGCAGCAGAAAGAAAAAAAGAACTACTAAACTTCGCGACAGCATGGATGGAACTGGAGAGCATCATGCTAAGCGAAATAAGCCAGGGGGCGAAAGACAAATACCATATGATCTCACCTATAAGCGGAACCTAACCAACAATGCAAAGAAGCAAGGAAAATATGACCAGCAACACTGAAAGGAAAAGAAATCAACAGAGACAAGAGGGAAGGCGGGGGGCAGGGAAAGGGAAGGGAAGGGGAAAGTCAAGGAACATATAGCAAGGACTCATGGACAAAACCAAAGGGAAGAGCTGAGGGAGGGAAGGAGGGAGGGGGCAAGAGGAAAGTGGTGGGGGGGAGGCAGAAACAAATGTATTTGAAAAATAAATAAATAAATAAATAAAATTATAAAAAAAAAAGAAAGAAAATTCAAATACAGTATAAACACATGAGAGCACATTGACTAGAAGACAAAAGTTTTCCTAGAAAAGTCAACTTAGATATTAAAATTATATTGATATATATGTAGGTGTGTATGTGTGTGCATGCAACCTTTTGTTAATAGCACTGATGAATTCTACATTCTAACTTTGTTAAAAATAGAGTAGGAAAATTAAAAATGCTAATATATAATCTGGAAAAATTATAAAAGCTTATAACGTAAAACATAGGATCTGGCCTATCCTTGATCTATAGCAAGTATATATTTGATTTCATTAATATTTTAGGAACCTCTATTTGAATAATTAGTGTCCTCTATGTGTTCTGTAACTATAGTTCTATTCTATTCATTACTTAAGCAAGGAAGGAAAAATTCAGACCTACATCTCCTGAATTAATGTGTTGTTTACCAAGATGTTTAAATTTTAGAATTAGCACAATATGCTGAAAGTAATGACATACTACAGCAATTACCAAAAAGGTATTCCTTCTTTATATTTAATCTCGTATTAGAAAATCATTGCTTATAGGATTAAAGTTGACAAATAGATTTTTTTAGACAAGTAGAATATTCAATGGTAGGGGAGAGAAATTTTTTTAAAAAAGAAACAACTGGTAATGGCATAATTTTAAGCTATTTAGCTGCACTACTGATTTGTTACCTATATCATTATATTTTAATGCTTTAGGATTATGTAGTAGCTAGTGAGATTTTTTCTCTTTTATACACAGTAATCCCATAATTATTGGTTAAATTAAGTTTAATCAATTTCTTCCTCCTATTACAGCTAATTTTTTATAGAAGTAATATATAGTTTGCAGAATACAAATAAACTAACATTTACTCATTACCAATTTTGTGCTCTGACACATGGTTTTGGAAAGAAAATACAGCTCTTAATAAACTGACAATACCAATAGAGATAAAAGGTACTCAGCTAACAGCAGAGAACAATATGCACCCAAGTACTAAAAAGTATATTACACAGTGAAACTAAAAATGGGGACATCTGTAATAATGTCAACAATAAAAATAAAATTTAAAAAATAGTCAAAGAGGGAAAGAATACCCACTATGGACCGGCATTAATAAAATTATAAATACTTTTAGAATTTAGTTTTAGTCAATAGTTTATCTTTTCCACTTCATTTTTAAAATTTCATAGTAGAAAATTAGACTATGTCTCTTTTTTATGAAGGCGCTCCACAAATTGGAGTTGAATATGTGCTCACCAGTATATATTTACAGGGATATGATCGTAAGCTTTTTATTTTTCCTTTGAGGGTAAGGATTATGTCTTTTTTATTTTTCACCTTTGCTTATAGAGTCTGCATGATAGATCCTCAATAAATGAGGATCTCCTAGCCTGAGAGCTCCTTTAAAGCAGTGATTGTATCTTATTTATGTAGCAGGTGGTTATTTCTGTATGAATCCATGTTGAAGCAACAAGTTTCAGTCACTAAGTAACTATTTCCATCTCAAATATTTATGCTTAAATTTTATTCTCTAACAGAGTGACCCTAAAGCAAATTATTTAACCCCTCTCTGTTCCTCAATTTTTAACTTTTTATTTTGAAGTAATTATAGGCTCAAAAGTAGTTGTAAAAATAGTACAGAGGGGTTCTATATTCCCATCATGCAGATTCCCCAACTGATTTCACACAACTCTAGTATATTATCAAAGCCAAGAAATTCACATTGTGTGCCTTTTAAATTAGGGGAGGGACATTTCAGGGTTGCTAATTGTTCATTCTTTTCTAAGACTGACTAGCGACCTCTATTCTTCAGAAAAATATTAAGGTAAAAGGGAATACTTCATAATATTTACTAAAATTTAAACAATGGTTGTAGGGGATGGAATTATAGGAGACGTATAAGCTGTACATTTCTGTAATGTTTAAGGTTTGAGGTTTTATTGTTTTGCAAAAGAGCATGTTTTATTTTTATCATCAGAGAACTAAACAATCAATTAAAAAAACAAGAACAATTTTCAGTAATAAGCCATCCAGGAATGTGTGTGGTTAGCTGGTAAAAGGTTACAAAGTGTATGGCAAAACAAAAGCATATTACTCAGTTTCATGACCCCTAGCTATTTTCCGTTTACTTACATGTAAAGTATTTGAAGCATGTTCAACAGTGTATTTCAGCAGTGCAAGATGTTCACTGCAGTGTTTTCCAGTTTTCCAGGGAAGTATTGTTAATTTTCTAAGTATAAATTTTACCCATCTGGCAGAGAAGTGTTTAAGATTTTGTGGTTTTATGTGCATATTGCCATTGCAATTTCAAAAACAAATGTACTTTATTAGAAACAGATAAACCCATAGATACATCATTGTATTCATTAATTAATAGTCATATGTATTAAAAATAACAAATATATATGAGGTCTGTCCAGAAAAAGTCCAGCCATTGTTAATATAACAAGAACAGTTTGCACAACTTCAATGTAGCCTGGCAGCCAAGGAGAGAGGGCTGGAATGCACATGTGTAAACAATGAAGACTTCACTGTACTAGTCAGTGATGGAGGTCGACACCATTCAGCATGTGTACTGTGTGCCTGTCACATTTAAAATGACTGAGAAGGAGAGCAACAAATCTGCATCAAATTTTATATTAGTCTTGAACATTCCTCCAGCAGAAACTATTCAGGTGATTCAGAAAGCCGCAGCTATGGGCAAATAGTGATTGGCAGCTTCATTATGACAACACACCCATGCATGAATCATGTCTTGTGCAGAGTCTTTTGGCGAAACATCAAATCACCCAGATGACTCAGCACCCCTACAGCCCAGATTTGGTGCCCTGACACTTCTGGCTTTTCCCGAAACTAAAATTACCTTTGAAAGGAAAGAAATTTCAGACCCTCCGTGAGATTCAGGAAAATATGACAGGGCAGCTGATGGTGACTGAGAGAACTGTGTGAGGTCCTGAGGTGCCTCCTACAAAGGGGACTGAGGCGACCATTGTCCTATGTACAATATTTCTTGTATATTATATCTTCTTCAATAAATATCTCTTTTTCATATTACATGGCTGTATACCTTCTGGACAGACCTTGTATACACTGGTTCTTCAGAAGTTATCTGCCTTGCAGCCTCTATATATTAACTTCTGAAGAAAAATATGATTTGATATGAAAAAGAAAATTTGCATTTTAATGGCTTTTTTTTGTAATTGTATCTAAAATGTTAGTGTAGTTGGATAAAAACATAATTGTAAATATTAATTTTATTTCTAGTAAAGACATGAGGATTAGGGTTTTTTTCAACGTTTTTACTTTACAGGGTATTTTTAAAACACTCTTTAGTAAATGCTCTTTGGTAGTAAAGCCAGGTTTTGAACTCAGTCCTTTAGACTTGCAATGCAATTCCTTCTACATTGTACTGCTTCTCATCTCTGTTGGACCTTGTCAAGTTCAGTGATCTAGAAATTGAAACCCCTTGTCTTTGACCATGCCCTCTTCACTTCCTACTTCTTTTATTTCTTTGTACTTCGCCCCTTACTCTAGAATCCATGAACCCCCTTCTTCTTTTGACTTCATTTGACTTCTTTTATTGGCTGGCCCACATGGGCATGATCAGTCATTTTAAAAACTACCTTCTTTATTATCAATTGAATTAATAATTTCTTGACTGTGGACATAGGCAAGCAATATAAGCTATAAAGTTTCCTGTCCTTAGATAACTTACTATTCCATGATCTTCTCATTTCTCCACTTTATACAATCTCCAACTCTGATCTTGAGTCATCATATTTTTGCTGCAGAATAGTCTTGAAGTCATGAAGGTTAACTGGGTCTGGGACTTATTTATGCTGCATAATTTCATCTAAGCTCTAAATTCACCTCTTTGTAAAATCTGTACCTTATAAAAATGGCTTTTTCGCATCTTTCCATTCCTCCTTTGTTCTCAAGTTGCTTTTCTTACCTAGACTCCCACTCGAAGCATATAGTCTTGCCTCATACTTGACCCATTTTTGTCCTTTTAGTCACTTTCCAGCACAAGCTGCTTCCTGGGGATTATATGCACCTTGAAGCTCTCGATATTTTTAAAGACATTTCAGCCCTCTGCATAATATTTCTTTTGTGCAGATTAATAGGTGACATTTTTCTTAATCCTTATTATCAAGAAAAATTGTCACTCGAGCAGCTTGTTTGTTTTTACTGTATTGTACATACACTATAAACATTGTGACTAGTTGTGCTTCACACTTTATCTTGGCCATAGAAAACTTGGAAAATCTTACCGTCTCCTCCAACAACCATATATCACTTATAACATTTAATTTTATGTAATAACCTTATTCCTATTTTAATCTTTTTATTAAAAATTCTATTATCTTCTTCTTTGCCTTCTTTACTACTGTTTGTCCTATAGGCTTCCATGTGCTTCTTTGTTTTGAAAAGGCAAGATAACATACATTTTAATAAAACTCAGTAGTACAAAAAGCATAGGTAGAAAAATTTTAAAATGTAGAACATAATCAACAAAAAGACAAACATTCATTTGTGCTGAGGTTTCAGGAAAACTGTCAAATCATTTTATGAATAGGTTAGCAAGATGAACTTGTAAATGTCAACCTCTGGGAGTTATGCCGAGCTTATTATAGCTCTGTACACAAACAGGCACAGACAGGGTGCTAATATGCTGTTACTCACTATTTACACTAATCTAACTGGCCATTGTTTTACAGCTTTGTGTAATTACCTAAAAAATATTTCAGGTATCTCGAAATGTAACTATAGAAGAGACTCTCAGTTTTCACTGAGAAAAAGTAAACGTTTATAACATCCAGTAAGTAAGTATCTCATTTTTGGGTTTTAAGAGCACCGAAACAAATAGAATGATAGAGAAAAATGCACCCAATGTTTTTCTGTAGTTATCAAATCTAGCTAGTGTAGTAGTTTATAATAACAGTATAACCACAACAGTGAAAGGTCTTAGAAAGTCAAATCATGGTAGAAGGAAGTGATCAATTTATCCCATAGTCCTAATGGCAAATTTTAATTGCTTGTTATATGCTAGACTCTGAACTTACTCATTGAATAAATACATATTGGCTACCTACTATGTGCCAGGTACTTTGCTAGGAACTGGTAAAAAAACAAAAACAAAAACAAAAAAAAAAAACAGACATACTCCTTGCCCTCCAATAATTGTCCTATGCAAGGAGGTATATGTTGTGGCTGAGAAAATTAAGGATCTGAGAGGATAACCATCTTGTCCAGAATTACACAGCTAATCAATGGTGGAGCTAGGATTTGACTATAGGTCTGTCTAATTCCCAAGTCCACATTTTTCTACAAAGCTACAATAATATGTACAAATGTTCCAGAGGAGCAAGGGAGTTCAGGCATACACGAAGTTACATAAAGACCTAAAACCCAGCAGTTCACACTGCCCAGATGACCTCTGCTGTTTTATCTGGCTTGGATAATTTTAACTAGATTATCACTGTAGCCTCCTCGCTGGCCCTCCTGCAGTCCATTCAAATGCCAGGGAGCCCCTCAGAAGGCAAATCCTGTCATGCCAATCCTCTGTGCCAAAGGCTCCGAGGGAGGTCCCTGTCTGTATACCCCCAGACTCCTCAACCCCTTGAAGTAATTCATTTATAACCTTTTTATTTTAAACAAAAATACTGTACATGCTATCTGCAAATTGCTCTTCCCCCTTGTATTTACTGGTGAATGTCCTGTGTTCTTAACATAACAATATATATTTGCTTGATATATATTGTTATACAAAGTAGAATGAGGAAAACTTTGTTTTATGGATTCCAAATTACATGACTATTATGTTGCTATATAATGGTTGACTTTATATTCATAAAACATCTTTTATAACAATTACATTTTTGTCCTTACATCATGAAATAACTTATTTAACAAATTATAATTGCCGTAAGATTGTAATATTTGTTATGTATTAAGATTCATCACCAAAGCAAACTCTTAATTACATAAGGCATAAATTCTTAAATTAAAAGAAAGTATTAGAACTTCTTTATCACAGTTATTCCCATCCAGGAAGTTTCAATCTTTCTCTACTCATTAAGAGAGAGATTAAGGCTATGTAAACGGAAAGCTGGAGAACTGATGGCTAAACATGGACTCAGAGGACATGGGTCTACACAATCAAAGCTAATTAATTGATAAATGAGATGCACCACCGTGGGTAAAGCTACCAACCATGGCCTCAGCTTTGCTTTTGATCGAGAATACAATTTTGAATATATTCTATTTCAGCTATTTCCTCATTTTAGTTCTTTTCTTTTTCTTTTAGTAGTTTTCTACCTAATATGTTCAACCCTTTTTCTTTTTAATTACAGTCTCGAGTTATAGCTGTACTGGACTGGGAGCTTTCTACCATTGGTCATCCTTTGTCAGACTTAGCTTTTCTCTCCCTGTTCTACTTTTGGCCCAGGAGAGTTCCAATGATAAATCGAAGGCTTTATTTTGAAGAAAACAGAGGTATGAAAATGTAATGATGCCTAAATTCCTATTAATATAAAATTATCTTTATTTTTCCCCATAACTTAAAAATAGAATTATATTACAATTTTAGATAAATACCTTTTATTTGTTTTTGAAATGTGTCCAAATCATTTTTTTATTGATTTTTTTAATATTGCATTCCACTTTTAGTAATTTATGACAAAATGTAATCCTTTGTATATAGTTTTCTTTTGGAAGTCAGCATTTAGAACATATTTTGTTATGTGGACTAATGGTTATTATATTTTCTTTTATAAACAAATGTAATATTAGGACATTTAGAAATATTCACCATGAGATTTTTATGCAGATTTACAGTATGTGCTGTTTTTTTTAGGAATGCCATCAATGGAAGAACTAATTTCAATATACTGCCGCTGCAGGGGAATTAATTCTATTCTACCTAACTGGAATTTCTTTCTTGCTCTTTCATACTTTAAAATGGCTGGGATAGCGCAGGTAATTAATTTTTTAACATGTGCTTCACCCTTATTTATTAAAGTACTATTGACAATGTTTTCTGGTATTCAGGAGTTTTATATTTTTTATTTTATCCTTAGATCATTTGGCTTTTCATAATGACAAATACCAGACATGGTTGAATATATATTAAGAATTTACAGAATAGGAATTTGGCAAGGAAAAAAGTTAGTAGCAAAATGTGTTATCACTTTTTGGTATAGTAAACTTAAAAGATGGAGGAAGGGAGAGAGACATAATGACAAAAAGAAAAAAGCTTGTGAGAATTGGTTATTTCCTGGATATCCAACGTAAGACACAGCTAAAACCTTTTAATGATGTTTGCTTCAGACTATAAAAACATTTATTGGACTGCCAGTCAAAATGTCAGCATAGGCAGACATGGCTCACCTCTTCACATGATCGCATCAAAATTACAACTGAAATATAGAACATCATCACTCAGAACCATTAGAAGTCGAGTTGAATGGAAGTTTGATAACTTCAGAATTAAAGAAACCACATTCATTCAGACTGGTAGGAGGAGTGCAGATGCGAAACTGGCTGGTCCCACACCCACGTGCCATAGATAAAAATCTGGGAGGGATATCTTGGAAGCAAGAAGTCCCAGCCCCATACCAGGCCCCCCAGCCCAGGGTTCCAATGCCAGGAAGGTGAGTCCCCACAACATCTGGCTGCAAAACCAGCAAGGACTGGGTTGGTGGAAGAAACTAGTGGAGCTCCAAGCACTTCCGCTTATAGGACACACGCAGACTCCTGTACTCAGACTCATTCCCTCTGAGCTCCAGCGCGGGGGCAGCAGCTTGAAAGGCACCACCAGTAAACAGGAACTGAAGTGCCTGGCATCAAGGTGAGCAGATGCCATTGTCCCTTTTCCAAACCTTCATCCCCCAATAGAGCCAGCAAGCTCGTGCCATATCTGAGACTCCGTCAACCTGACTAACACTGTTTGACCCACCTTAGAGATCCCCAGAAACTCTGACCCACCCAACTTACAGGCACACCCAAGATGCTTTTCCGTATAAATGGCTGGCCTTGGCTCGTGCGTCACAACTCCCTAAATCCTCTCAAACAAGCAACAGCTGGCCTCAGTGAGTCTCAGGCCCAGCACTAGCAGCAGCCATCTCAGGTTGCTTTACAGCTCAGGCAGGGTGGCCCTAGGGCAAAATACAGGTGGGGGCAGACCTTGGCCTGCACCACCCAGGAAATCCCAGGGCCAGCACACCCAGCAGACAGCTACAGGCCACATTGGAGCTACCACCCTGCCCCTACACAGCTGATCCTCCACAGAGGGCAGAGGTTGGTGGCCAGTGGTCACAGCCAGTCCTTGCAGTTGACTGGCTTGGGTAAGTCCTTCCTATGAACCTGATAACAGTAATCAAGGCTCAACTACAAGAGGAGGGGGTATGCAGTGCACACGAAGGGCACACTTCTGGGAGAAACTTTGAAACCTAGAAGGTATTAAATATTCAAATTCATGGAAAGCAGGGACCTACAGATAAGATTGCTGTACCCAGCAAAGAGATCATTTAGAACTGAAGGGCAGATAAAGAGCTTTCCAGACAAGGAAAAACTAATGGAGTTCATCATCACCAAACTATTATTATATGGAATTTTAAAGGGGCTTATTTAAGAAAAAGAAGATCAAAACTATCAATAATAACATGGCAAAAAATACAAACCTATCAACAATTGAATCTAAAAAACAAACTAAGCAAACAAGAACAGAGACAGAATCATGGCTACAGAGAGCATTTTGATGGTTGCCAGAGGGGAGGGGTGTGGGGAATGGGTAAAGAGGTGAGGGGATTAAGAAGCACAGATAGACAGTTATAGAACAGCCATGGGGATATAAAGTACAGTATAAGAAACGGAGTAGCCAAAACACTTACATGCATGACCCATGGACATGAATAATGGTGTGGGGACTGCCTGAGGGAGTGAGGAGGTACTGGGTGGAGGGGGGCAAAGGGGGAAAACGTCAGGACAACTGTAATAGCATAATCCATAAACTATAATTAAAAAAAAAACATTTATCAACCTGGTCTGATGATGAGGAAAGAATTATCTTTGAACTCCCCAAAATCTCTCATAGCACCTACATAGAGCAGCCTCTTATGCTTTTCAGTGAGTAGATGAGCAAATTTTTCCATTTTCTAGCATATTTATGTGATTGATTGAACATAAACTCAGTTTTTTTAAATTACAGCTCAATCTAAACAAATGCATTCTTTATTCTTGTAGTTCAATTTCTGTGTACTTTGAATATTGGAGGTTTATTTAAGAAATTGAAATAGTTCATCAGTAGCAAGGGGCTAGGGCTTGGAGGAAGAAAAGGTAAATCAGAAATTTTAGAAACAAAAAAGAATAGGAAAAGAGGTATAAGGAAAATTACGGGTTTTTTCCTCTATCAGATGAGATTGGGCGCACACAGGGTGGTATGGCCGTAGACTTTCCTCTATCCTCAGAATTCATATCATGCACAAACAACAAAAATGTCTTCTAGGAAATAGTTTGTCCTGCATTTTTCCAATCATATTAATCATATTAGTAATCGAACTGATTGAATGTGTTTCTCAAAACACAGTTTATGCTATGTTTCTATATCTCAGTTTCTACAAATCAGATATCAAATAGGCTTTGAATTTTTTTTTCAATCCTCACCTGAGGATATGGTTTTATTGATTTGAGAGAGAGAGAGGAGCATCAGTATGAGAGAGAAACATTGATCCATTGCCTTCGTTACATGGCCCAACCAGGGATGGAACTACCAACCTCAGCATGTGCCCTGACCTGGAATCAAACCCACAACCTTTTGAAGTCCACGCTGACGCTGCAACCAACAAAGCCATTCAGTCAGGGCTAGGCTTTGAATTTAAAGTGGATTTTCACTTCAAATAAAAGCTTGACATGAGTTATTAGTAACTCACAGGGCTGGGAAACCACAAAGACTGGATAGTTGACGAACAGTTTTCAATAAATTTTCCTCATTCTGTGTTAATTTACTTATAGGGAATATATAGTAGGTATCTTCTGGGGAATAATGCATCTGAGGATAGCTTTCAGTTTGCCAATGTTGTGCAACCTCTGGCAGAAACTGGATTGCAACTTTCCAAAAGGTAAGCAAAACAAATTCCTTGGCTAACTCAAATTAGAGCCTCTATTGGGTATGTGAAGCTTGTAAACTTTAGGGGGATGGGGATCGCTTTTACTTCTTATGCCAGGATTGCTGCTGCCAGTCAAAACAGATTGCTTGGTAAATGTCTTATCTACCTGAAAATAAACTGACTTCAAATATAAAGAGGATATTCATATTTGTAATTAAAAGTATTTTTGACAACTTGAGTATATAAACTTTTAAGGATATAGCTAAAACTCTCAAATGTTTCCTTCTAATATTTGTTACTTAGACCTATTTAAAAATATAAATTACATAAGGTAATTTAATAAACTTAGAAATATTGTTCTCTCCCACCATCACATGCCATCAAATGTTATTCATATGTTTTGTAAGCGTCGTTCAAATCCATGTCTCCATCAGTAAGAACACTTTTGAGGCATATAATACACTTTGCCAGCCACACTCCTGTCTAAGTGGTGTGATATATGGTGCTTACTGAATTTGTGGATGACACTGTCCCTGGAAATTCTGCCCAAGACAGAAGCACTAAGAGCATAATGTTAGCACAGTTTTGTTTCTAAAACTGTGTTGGGAAGTGCCAGGCCGGGCATTTCCCAACACTTTCAAATTAGTGTTTTGGGTTCCTTCGGATATATTCCCAGAAGTAGGATCACTGGGTCAAAAGGCAGATCCATTTTTAAGTTCACTTTATAAACAAATATTTGTAATCTCCGCAACATAGTGGCCAACTGTGTTGCTAGTCATAATGATTTTTAGAGGTGGTGTTTATAATGATATATTTGTGAGGCATACACTAAGAGTAACTATTAAATTTATGTTCAATTTCTTAACGTTTTTAGATTCTAACAGGTGACTTCAATAAAAATTCAGAACTATCATTGATTAAGGTCATGCCAGGCTTATGTTTTCCCCAAATAATGTTTAAGTGTTAAAGTTTATGTTCAAAATAAAGTGATTCTACATTCACCCCATAATATGAAAGACATGCACAATATGGCAACTCCTTCTGAGTGCCATTTTTGGGGAGTTGGGGAAGGCGTCACATTATATTCAGAAAGATAATAAGTTTGGCTATCTTCATAACTTTTTTTTACAAAGGTCTTTCAAAACTACACAGCCACAGATTGAGAATACCCAAGGGCTGTTTTTACAGAGTCGGAAGGGCCAGGAAGTTCTTACTAGGGTGAAGCATTTCATGAAACACCACATCCTTCCAGCTGAAAAGGTAAATATTATGTGAACAGAATGTATTTGTGCACAAGGACTACTGAATTACTTCTGTTATCTCTGCTTCTCAGAGTACCATGGTATCATGTCTTCGCAGTCACTCCTTAACTAGGTGTCCCTCCTAACCTTAGCACTCAGCTGCTACAGACCCTGATCCTGAAAAATCCCAAGGGAATGATACAGATATATCTGTGGAGTTAAAAAGTCAAAAGGAATTAACTTTTTTTGTAAAGTTGAGATCCTTATTAGAGTAAAACTACTTTGGGGGCCTTTGCCCAAGGCGGTGACTTTAAGGGTGTTTTTTGTTTGTTTATTTGTTTGTTTTGACCCTTTTGAGAATTAAGAGAACTGTAGAGGAAACAAGGTAGGCATACCCAGTTCTGAATATCATTTCAAGTGGTTCACAAATACTACCACCACTTTCCTCACATGCTATTGCTTTAAGGTATTAAGTCTCAGCCAGTTTACTGAAGGTGAAGAAACAACATGATGCATTCATTTGTTCAGTTAACAAATAATTATCGGGAATCAAATAATAGGTCAGGCATCTGGAAAGCCGTTGAAAGTAAAAGAAAGAACAAGACAGACAGGGCTTATACTCCTTTGGGGCTTAGACTCCTATGGGGCTTATACCTTATCAAGAAAGAAAGACATTAAATAAGAGATGATAAAGGCTATTTATGAAAAGAGAAAAGCTGTTATGAAAATATGTAAGGTGGGATGGGGTATGTGTGTGGGTAGAACACTTGTATAGATTGTAAGACTTTGATTCTAGTGCATTTCTGCTACGATTTAGGTGGTTTTGGGCACATAACAGTATCTCTTAGAGCCCGAAGTTCTTCATTTACAATGTGAATAGGTATGACTCAGAATACAGTAAATTCCCATTTTAATCTTTTATGATTCTGAGATCTAGAGCTAGACTGGCAAAATCAAAAAGGAAACTGAAAAAGACAAATTCTTTCAACAAAAATGTTCAACCAATATGTGTTTATAGGGTGGTTAATGTTATTGCTTGAATTATATGAATAATTATATTTTTAATAAAGATCTGGGATGAGATTAGCTTTGCTTACAGAACAGGGTATAGCTTTTTCTATAGTTTATATATATATATATTTTTTTTTTTTTTGCTGTATTTTTTTCCATTACCATTGAGTCCCCTTGTCCCCTCTCCCTCCAGCCATCACCAGACTGCTGTCCACGTCCATGAGTCCTTTTTCATTTTTGCTCAATCCCTCCACCCCTCACCCCCCACCACTAGCTGTCATCCTGCTCTCTATGTCTGTTCCCATTTTCCTTGTTAGTTTATTTTGTTCCTTAAATTCCACATATGAGTGAAATAATATGTTATTTGTCTTTCTCTGACTGGCTTATTTCACTTAGCATAATGTTCTCCAGGTCCATCCATACTTTTGCAAAGAGTAAAATATTTTTCTTTTTTACAGCCAAGTTGTATTCTATTGTGTAAATGTCCCATAGTTGTTTTATCCACTTATCTATTGATGGACACTTGGGTTGCTTCCATATCTTGGTGATTTTAAATAACACTGCAATGAACATAGGGTTGTTTATGTTCTTTCATGTTGCACTGCACCGCGGCTATAGGGGAGGGCCACCGCGGAGGAGCGCAGCAGAGAGCGTAGCGCTCCCTGACACCTGAGGGAATCTGGCTGGGGACAGCCGAGGGGGAAGCAGGGCTCTGAAACCCGCAGAGCCCGCCCCGGGGTTGTCACAGATGAGGGGGAATAAACGAAAAACGTCCCAAACACTTCTCTGTTTGCCAGGAGAGCAGACGGGGCACTTCCCTCCTCTTGGAGAAGGCCCTGGCACATCCCCCTAAAGAGGAAGGCCCCATCACCCTTCGTTCCAAGGCTTTTATGGAAAAACTTACCAGCGGGCTAGGTAACAGGAATGCATACATATACTCATTACATTAGCATGTTAAGGTTCACAGAGAATAGATACCTTTAAGAAAACAAGTGACAGGAATTCACTGATTTACATGGATCCGAGAGGAGACCAGTCTAAACAGAAGAGAATGAAGACAAGGGCAAGCACCTTAATGATAAAGGGTAAGGGGTGTAAATAATGTGAAGGTCCTTTGCAGCAAGAGCTGACCAGAGATATGATGGAGGAACAGAGCACACTCTAAAGAACTTACTTTTAGGTCTGATTACCCTGGCAACCACCAGATCTGATTTAGGGCTGTTTTTCCTGCACTGTTTCAAGCCTGAGCCAGGTGGGAGGAGGGAACCAGCAAGAGATAAGGAGACTGCTTCTCGGCTGCAATGAGGACTCCGGCCGTGTCCAGGCCAAGCCGAGAGGTGTGGGGGCCTTTTTGCCCCTTCTCCGGGTCCCCCAATTTCTTTATTTTTTTTTTTATTTATTTTTTTCAAATACATTTATCTCTGTCTACCCCCCACCACTTTCCCTTGCCCCCTCCCTCCTTCCCTCCCTCAGCTCTTCCCCTTTGGTTTCGTCCATGAGTCCTTGCTATATGTTCCTTGACTTTCCCCTTTCCTTCCTTTTCCCTGCCTCCACTCCCTCCTCCCTCCCCTTCTCCGTGTTCCCCAATTTCTTATCTGCTGCCTTTACAGGCCAATACCTGTCTTAGGTTGCCCCTCCCCTGAGGGGGTCTTACCCATCATTGACAAGGACCATCCCAAGACAAAGCAAGAGGGGCAGGGACTATGCCCCTGCCCAGGGGAACAGGTCAAGTTGTCTCAGGAGCCTGTTTCTCCAAGGCCTCCTGATTATTTCCAGCCTTGGGGCCCTCCAACCTGTTGGCAGGGTTACAGCTGCTGAAACCAGGCCGGGCATTTCCCAACACTTTCAAATTAGTGTTTAGGGTTCCTTCGGATATATTCCCAGAAGTAGGATCACTGGGTCAAAAGGCAGATCCATTTTTAATTTTTTGAGGTATCTCCTTACTGCTTTCCTCAGTGGCTGCACCAGTCTGCATCCCCACCAACAGTGCAAAAGGGTTCCCCTCTCTCCACATCCTTGCCAGCACTTGTTATGTGGAGGTATAGTTTTTTTTTTTAAGAAAATACCTCTTAAATATGAGGAAATTCCTTCTAAAATACTCATCTCTTATATGTGTTCAGTGCTTAAGTTATCACTTTGGAAACTTTCTGCTCTACTTTCTAACATGTATACAATTTTGAGTTTTAAAATTCTGAACTTCTGGGTATTAACAAGAAAATGCAACATGTTTGGTTCAAGATGGCAGGATTTACCTCTCCTCCCACAAATGGAATAAATTGGTTAAAGCATAAAAACAGGAGGGTGACACATCAGAGGACTAAGGTTTTGAAAAGAGAACGGAGAAAGCCATTCTGTGAACTTGTCACAAAACGCAGTAATGATACTACTGCATAGGAAAAGGTAGCAGGGCCCCTGAAAGAACATGACATTTAGAGACAGTTGTCTCTGGGTTGCAGTATAAATTCTGCCAGTTAGTAATACTGAGTGACCCTGAGCAAGACTTCTTTGGGGAAGGCAGGGTAGTAACATGGTTAGGAATGAACACTCTGGGACCAGATTATTTGGATCTGAATTCCTTTTGTGTCACTTTCCAGATGTGGGACCTTGGGAGTTTCAAACGTATACTTCAACCATCTTAAGTGTGAATTCATGCTACTCATTAAAATATAATATTAATATTTTAGCCCTGGCTGGTATGGCTCAGTAGATTGAATGCCAGCCTGCAAACTGAAAGGTTGACTGTTCAGTTCCCAGTCAGGGCACATGCCTGGGTTGTGGGCCAGGTCCCCAGCTGGGGACGTGCAAGAGGCAACCAATCAATGTATCTCACACATTGATGTTTCTCTCCCTGTCCTTCTCCTTTCCTTCCCCTCTCTCTAAAAATAAATAAATAAAATCTTTAAAAAAATAATAAAATATAATATAATAATATGTTTTAAAAATTAAATAAAGAGGAACTTTAAAGTCCTATAAAACAGGATTTGGGGCACTTTTGTGTTATCAGAAAACCCATCACATTTTGTATTTCTAAACCAAATATTTGATTGTAGGCAACTGTGTTAGGAAGTTGCACTGACATGTGGGGGCCAGTGTTTCTTCTGGTGTGATCAAAGTTTTAAAAAATTATTTGTAAGGCAAAAAACTCATTAATTAAAGTTTTTTAAAAAATATATTCTCGAGGGCTGGCATTTTGGAGGCCAGCCATGATCTTTATCTTTTTCCCTGCTTTTTTGAGATGTAATAGACACATAACTTTGTGAAAGTTTAAATGTGTACCACCTGTTGATTTGATACATTTATAAATTGCAAAGTGACCATCACCATAGTATTAGCAACGACCTCTATCCATCCCATCATTTAGGAACCATGTCTTTTTTGTGTGGTGAGAAAATTTTAAAAAATCTACTTTCTAGCAACATTCAAGTCCACCATCTTTATTTTAATCTTAAGCCTTCTTATTTTGATTTTCTCCTCCCAAATTGAACATTTGTTTAACTTTAATGAAATAGGAAATATATGTTTAAAAATTTTTTTTATTTCTATGGGTCTTTTTTGAGATTAGTTTCTCTTAATAGTTAATAACATTTCTTTCTACTCTTGTCTTTGAAGATATGCATTACCATTTCTATTACTGGTTACTTATATTCAGTGTCTCTAGATAATTATTTTTGTTTCTTTTGAATTTTTGCTAATAATTCAGGATTGAAGATTTTTCTCTGCATATAGATTTCTAACTGGATCTCATGGCTTGTTTATATAACAATGCCTTTGGAAATAACTTCTCACATTTTCTTGATGCAATTTAGCTGCAAACATTGTTCACCAGTTTTGTTTCTGGTTGTGTTTGGAAAGCTCATTTCTTTATGAATTAAAGAATAGACTAATTTGTCAGTTGCAATATAGTTTGTTTTCTGGCTCTTCGTATCACCAAAATATTATTTTATTATTGGTAAATTATATTTAAATATACTAAACTCTCAGTGTCTAGACTCCAAATAGCTAGAAAGG